GGGGCGGGGTGTAGTGCAGGGTATAGGAAGAGGTCGGTAGCTGGGTAGTAATGCGATGAGAGAGGGCTTTAGGGAGAGAGGGTCGAGGGGGAAAGAGGAAGGATAGGAAGGGGGGTTGAGCGAGGCTGGGCTGGATTACGCCGGGATACGATGATGGACAGGGGCGGGGTAGGTAGGCTTGGTGAGGAAGGATGGGCAGGATTAGGCAGGCCAGGCAAAGATGCACGGAGGAGGGCCGAGCGAGCGAGCGACTGGCGGTGATACAGGGCCGCGGCGACCAGCCAGCGAGCGAGCGAGCGAGCGACCAGGGCGGGGCAGGAGGAAGCAGACTGGAGGGGAAGCACGAGGTAAGGAAGGGGTCGAAAGGATGCACAGTAGGGCTAGTCGTGCTAGCCCAGGGCTGGCTGGCAATGCAAGCCCTAGGCACGGACAGGACTGCTGACCCAGGGCACGGTGGAGGGGAGCCCAGGGTGAACAGGGACACCCCAGGGATGCCTAGGTCAGACAGGCTAGACGGGGCAGACAGGGCAGACAGGGTGCCAGGGATGGATGCCCAGGGATACACCACCGTGTGGGGAGGCGATATCGTGTATGGGGTAAGGGTTCTAATTGAGCTAAACACCACTCGCTCTCTCACCAAAGACGCTTCAAGCTCAACGACAGGTGCAAAGCCATTTACACCGGGAAGCGTTACTTAGAGTTTTGCCAGAATGCAATAGCAGCTCATTACAACTGCACATGCCAGCAAAAACCGTCCGTCAGGAACTAGACATGATTGTTGACTGCGCCCTTAGGAAAGAGCCAGCCGACAACAGATCCAGAGTCCCGATAGAAACGGAGCACGCTCCGCATCGGAAAGACCAGTACGCGAAACAGGAGACACATGCACCGCGGTAGCATTTGTCTCGCGCTCTCTTCCGGAGCAACGAAAAGAGAAGTGCAGGAAAGAGGGAAGGGTCAGGTAGTATTGGTTGACCGGTCCGGGCGTGGGACAAGTGGAGGAAGACATCAGGCAGATGTAGCGGAGTACAGCCTCGACCGCGCAAGGACAGGGACGGAAGAGTCACTCACTGTGTATGTTACAAGATTACGAGTGATGAGGGCGGCTGGGCCCAACGAAAAAATAGAATGCACGGACGGGTGTTGGGTGCGCAAGAGTCTGGACGATAATGTGGAGGTGTGGTATGGTGGAGGAGGGCACGGCCCTTGTTGACTGTTTGCGCTGGTTGGCAGTGGTGACGTTGATAACACGCGGGGTACGAAGCAGAAGGAAGCGCCTACTGATTCGTAAGACGGACTCTGCTTAACGGTCTGGTAGAAGGGTTGCGGCTTGGCTGGTTGGGTTGTCTGTCGTTCGCCGTCTGTAAGCGGATAGCGTAAGACGAGGGTGGTGACTGTTTCGACTACTACTTTCGGCAACTGGAGGACTAAGGTTGGTCGCTAGTCCTTAATCAGAAGGAAGCCGAAATCACAGAGGGGTTGCAATCGATAACGAGGTGCAGTCGTCGGGAAACACGAGGCGAGTGGAGAAGAGAGCAAATCGAGCTGGAGCGATGTGTATACTCGAAGCTGGAGTTGGGGCTGAAGACCGATGCAAGGGTGGAGACAAGATCAGATAAACAGACAGCCAAATGACTGCGGGTTGTTTGGACGAGCGAGGTGTGGGATGTGAAATGTAATGAATATGGGTATGACCAAATGGGCGGGTTCCGATTGTGTTGCCGAGGTGCAATGCTGTGTAGAGTTTGCAGTCGTTGGGAGATATGTCGATGCTGGGTGCTAGAGCGGCTGGGGAAGATGCTGGGTGCTGGAGAATGCGCGATGTGCTGCTAGGGTGGATAAGAGTACACGGGGCTTGCTCGATATGAGGCTGAGGCGAATGTCCAAGAAGCCGGGCGACCACAAGCTCTACGGTGAGCCGTTGTTAGGAAGGGCACAAGTGGGTACGTAAGGTAGGAACGAGGCCTTCGTGGGGGGTAGACGGCCCTTACAGAATAGTAAGGGTTTGGTCGGCTTTTGGAACGACGGAAGAAGAGCAGAGCTTGAGCTCGAGGCTGTCAGATCGAGGCAGAGGCAGATGGAACGATCAGGCGCACGGCGGTGTAAGAGCGCAGGTTGACGATCCGGGATCCCTGTCTCCGACAATTCGAGAAATTCCGAAGCGCTCTTCGTTGTATTCCGCAGTTGCCGTTGTAGGACGACTCAAGTGATCACAATGAGGGAAGGGTGAAGGGTGGAGGTAGGGTGATTGGAGAAGCCACTGGTGTCTATGTTTTGTCTTATCGCCTGCGACGGCCAGCAGTTGGAGGACGATGTCCGTGTGAAGAGGGATGGGGGAAGGAAGACGAAGTCGGGGACGGGTTCTATGCAAGACAAGGGCTGTGGGTAGAAAAGGTGATGAGGACCACTGCTCGTTATAAATGTCTGTCCTGCTGCCGAACACAGGATTATCAGCCACGGCACCACGGCTGCTTTGCAGGCATGAATTCAGGAGTTCCGCTTCGTGCGCATCATAGGCTCCTGGTTACCAGTGTCAAGCCCACCAGGATATCTCAAACGGTAGGCAGAAGCGTATCAGGACCAGCGACAAGGGAACGACGGCGCCAGGAGTGTCAGTCAGCGGGCGGCACCTGGGGAGCTGCAGCTGGTCGGCGGATAGCCCGCTAGGCTGTATTACAGACAAGACTGCGAGGCAAGATATCAGCGTGCGCCTGAACGAGGCATGAGAGCCCAGTCTGGCTTCAAGAGCGGACGGAATGGCAGCTCGTGGCCGGCACCGTCTGGGATCTGCGGACCCGGACCACGGCCTCGGTCCTTGGCCTGATAAACCTTGGACTGGCATGCTGACACCTGCTCCTTCCGTGCTAGGAGTCAGGGCAGGGATCAGCTTGAGCTAATCCACTAGATACCACAATCCGACCGTACTGTCCAGATCAAGCACGCTGCCGATCTGGTGCAGGCAGGACCAGCTGTTTGATCGTAGTTGCAGTGCAGAGGAGAACTGCACCACAGTAACAGGCTGGCATGCTGGATTGCAGGAGCCCGCAGGGTAAAGGTTGATACGGGGCGGAAGGGAAGACGGCAAGGCAGGAGAGGGAGGTTGCTGCGGCTCGCGACTCGGTTCCTCATCCTCTCGGTGCCTCGTTTACAGACCCTCGGGCATTCGGATCCTCACAGGGCAGAAAAAGAGAGTAGCACGAATGTGTCGCTGCACAAGCACGGTGGACACACGGGGCCAGGTAGCGTAAAGGACAGATGGTCGCGCGGCCAACAGACAGGAGCCACCTCCTCGGGTGCGCACGACTCAGGTGTCAGGTACTCCGCACGCTCTGGGCCTCATGCCTCAGCCCCGGGTTCGAGTGCCTCAATCTGAGCAGTTGAGCGAAGCGGCCGTGCGGGCGATGCAGGCCAAGGCCGTCGCTCGGGCGGAATCAGAATGCTTCCAATCCTCTCAACTCCCTATGTCTGTCTGTACAAGCGGAAGGGAACTGCGGAATCACGGTCCGACCGTAGCTGCGAGTTGCTTGCTCGCCGCTCACCTCTTGATCCCTTTATCATCGGCCGCCTGCTTCGTCGTCCCCCCCCCCCACAGTCCTTCTACGCAGGAGTTTCTTGACCTGTTGCTGCATTGGTGACTCACACATCTCTCGTCTCGCAGCCTTGCCTGATCGTCAGAGTGAACCGTTCGGTAGAGACCAGCGTTGGTGCATTCCTTGCTCTGATCTGTTCTGACATTCAAGGATCCAACCTTGCAAGTTCCGCAATCCCATGACTGATGCAATGCCCCTCCTAGCTAACAGTCACGACACGGTCTCCACATTCCAGGCCGCCCCTTTGTTTGACAATGGTGCTCCAATTCGGCGTGGGTTGAGCAGTCTTCGGCCGTCCCAGCGGTTACCGTGCATCCGCCAGCAACGTCAGCAGCTGAACCGGTGGCATGACAAAGGCGCTCGGAATCTCCACGCATCGGGACGTAGCGACAGGCTATGCCAGCAAACCCGAGGCTGTTTCTTCAACTATCCACTCGCTCGGGTCTCTGCTGCTCGCCGCCTCTACCCGCTAGTCATTGCGGCACCTGTACACTAGCGGGCAGAGGCAGCGCTAGCATTAGCAGCCCACGGATACGTGTTCCCGTGACAGTCTCCAACGCGACACCAATCGGCACCGACGCCGATGATTCCTGCAGAATCACCCCAGACGACTCTTATGATCTACATACACACCAGGTGCTGCCCCCCGTGTTACATTCGCTTGGTCATAGAAGAGAGCCAATCTGGATGTCAACAAACAACCCACTCTTCACCGAGGTTCGGGCTGTCTGATTATAATGAGATAGGTGAGCCCGGCCCTATCCCCGGAGTGATTACTGGAGAGACCAAGGTTTCGATTTGAGTTTGTCGTGATCGCAGCAAGCTCCAACGAGGTACGACCGTAAGCTTGGAGTGCAATCCTCGCGATCGCCAAGAGCTCAGCGAGTTTGACGACAGGCATAGGATCGGGACGCAGCTGGAATCGCCATTCATAACTTCGACAGGAGGCAGTCAGGGTCATGGACCGAACCCTTACGTGCCGTTGCTGGGCCCTAGGAAACCACTGAGGCTGCAACGTTATTACTCATCGTTTCATGACAGCTTACCTCAGGGCCCTCCTGAGAGCCTTACGACCATTAGTCACATTGCGGGGTCCGCTGAGACAATACGGATATGCGGATGTCGTCCTTTCTTCGACGCCCACATGGAAGCGCGAACGCCTCGACGCCTTCGAAGCCTCGTTGTCGAGGCCCGCGCAGACGCCCATGCGCCCGTAGCGCTCAGACAGGCCAACAATAGACAACCCGTAGCACGTAGCGCCGTACCGGGGATCTGGTGGATCGGTGGAGCAAGTTGGCGCCGGCGCACTATGAGCTAACGCAGCCAACCTAGGGTCGTGGGCAACCATTCCTACGACTCAACTGCTCCACTGTCACCCCGGCTGATGCGCACGTACGAGAAACACGCAATGAGTCTGTCCCATGCATTCAGCGGCGGAGCAACGGGAGCAGGTGACTCGGGTCGCCTCGCCGCCTCCGCATCGAGTGCGCCGCATGCTTCCCAAACTTTCCTGAGCAATGGTCCTCTCTGATGGTGTGTGCTTACGTTCTCAGATAGATCGTTGCAGGAAGTGCCGTTCCTGCACTTCCGGATTCCGCGTCAACCTGACCCCGTGTCCGGTGTGCACCCGGTGTGCCCGCTGTCTGTGGTGGGTCGGAGGCCGGCGGACGAGGTGAAACGGAACACAGACGGAGTGATCGAGCTGACCGATGACATCATTCATGCGATCGCGATATCACGAGCAGCGATAACCTGGTGTGTTGCTGCAGCTATCATCCTGACGATGGATGGCCAGCTGACCTTGCCCCACTCCCATCAACCGCATACCCCTTGCGTCTTCATGTCACTGACGGCAACATGCGGCCAGCCGTTGCAACCCGCGCAATCCCTTTGCTGGACCTCGGTATGCGCCTGTCGCCAATGGCATGTGATAACGTTTAGTGCGCTCGATAACGGACGCCTGTGTGCGGGGGTCTGCGCACTGAACAAACGCAAGCCGACCCAGCCTCTGCGCCCTGCAGTCACCCCTGCAGCCTCCTGCCGAGGACAGTGGTACGGGTCGAGCTGGCGGACGTGCGTAAGCACTGAAGTGTCTAATGCTGAATTGCGTCCCTGTACTAAATCCTAGCGCAGAAGCATACGACCCTGCTAACCCTGCACTGTGCTAAAGAGTCCATCCCTCACACTCCGGCACTCCCTGCCCAAAGCTCCACCTCGCTAGCAGTATCGCGGATTGCGCCAAGCCTGTGAGGGGAAGGGCGCTCCACTGATGCACTGCATTAGAAATGGTGCTCATGTAATGTGCCGCCCGAACAACCGAGCTCTTCCGTGCAGCAGGATACAGATCATTAAGCAAGCCGTTTTTCCGCTTCAATGCTCCTGATCTCCTGAAAGTGTCTCTGCGCTAATCTGCTTTCTGTCTGACCGGCTCCGTATACTACGGACCCCAAACGTCAGCGGCTCTCGCAGTTGCGTGTTCCCAGTCTGACTGGGCAGCTGACACACTCGAAGCAAGTTGGATTCAGATGGACCTGACTGGGTCACGGGTCAGGTTTGCACCGACCTCGGGTTCCGGCGTTCCATGTCGAAGCCGCTGCGTACCTGATCGCGGATCGCGCACAAGTCGCACCAGCTCACAGCACCGGCTGCGCGTTTTGGCTTCTGCAAACGGGTTCCGGAGACCCACGTTGGGTGACTGAGTCGAGTTGGGTTCGGCCTATTTGGCTTCTGCTTCTTGCGTCAGTCTGAGTGGGTCCTCATGCGTGGCTGCCTTTCATGTCCATTCATGCCTTCCTGTTTCAGTCTGAGCCAGGCAAGGATTGTGGTAGCTCTGGCCGCTAATCCTTTCTCTAACAATCCTTTCCGAACTTGGCAAACTCGCTTGCAGATCTTATCCCATGCCATGAATTCAACAGCTTCGCAGCCACGTAGCAGACCCAAAATGCCTCATGAATCACGCCAGAACAAGAAGATGCAACGCCACAGTCGCCTAAGACACTGATCCAGAAGCAATCTTCTACCATCTCGAGTAGACACAGATACGGGCCAAGGAGTAGGACCCACTTGCCATGATCCGAGACCCGTGTACCCGTGACATAACGTACATCGTTCCTCGCAAGCCGAGGCATCAGTGTTGCCCGTAGCAGTGCGAAATAACAGGCGGGGTACCTGGACGCGCTCGCTTCTGTGTGCATCGCCTACCGAGCTAGTAGTGCGGTTACTCACTCGATCTCGGCGCTATCACGGTGCTAGCCGCAGCCGATCTTATGCTTCTTTCGGCGGGCGCTCAGCGCCTTGGCGTGAGCCACGCCGCGGGCAGCCCACAGACCAGCTAGCTCGCGATCTCTTTTGGTTGCTGAGTCACTAGTCTTCGGCTGCGCGCGCCAAGAACTGGGCGGATACACATTCGTCCACAACCACTTTCCCCTTTGATCTCCGCAAGCTCGCTTGAACGGCGTAACTTTTTCGCCTCCAGTGTCCAGTCGCAGCATCCCACAATTAGCGGGGTGCGGCGACGCGGTGCCCGATGAATTCACAAGTGCCTTCCCCGCGGCTCTCCGTGTATCCCGCTGCACCACGGACGCCGACGCCTGCTCATCTCGGCTGCTGTTGCCATGGCCGAGTCATCCGACGTCATCACGGCACGGCTGATCACGTCTGACGTGCTCGTTACGAGTCCGTGCCGGCCCAATCACTCGGAGTACGGCGCGCTAAGGGCTGATGTCGGCTCTCTAATTCGCTGCCGTCCGATATCGAACCAGATATCAGAATCGTTCCGAAACGTCCCCGGATCGAACTGATCCTAAACCTACGAAGCAAGGGATAGCTTTTCAGCGTTTAACCACGTCGTCAACTGCGCATCATCCTATGCATTCGTGCAACTCATCAGCCGACTCATCGGCTGTCCTTTGCGGGCAAGCAAGGCCGCATACCCCTCATCCTGGCCAATTTGTGCGAGTTTCACAAGCATCGGAATCCACTCGCAATTGACGACTTGTGGCGATTCAGACGCTCGCGTCCAAGCATTCCAGCGTCGTGCGGAATGCTCGCCCTCACTCACCCCGTTGCTCCAGTGGGTTCCGGCCCGTCGACCGGGTTTGCCTTTCCGTTTCGTTTTCATTCAGCGGTCCCAGATCTAAAGTCACACCTGCAAAAACGTAAGACCAAGCAAACTGTCAGCCCCCCGTTCCTCTGCAAGCCGTCCCTTCCAGCTCTCCCGGGCCAGGCCAGGCACACGAGTGCCGCACGCACCCTGCATCCGCCATTTGCGCATGTTAGGTTGGCTGTTAGGCAGACCTCTGGAATCGGCTCATGACCGAGCTTCCCATACTCATTCATTTGAGCTGCCCGCTGCCGACGCCTGGATGCCGTACACTTGCAGAGAAACGCTTTTGCATTCAGCTTCTGCAGTTCTGCAGGCGCAGAGGCTTGTGCGCAGCGCTTTGTGGCAGAAATGCCTCGGTGAGCATCGGCAGGGAATCATAGGGACCACCGGAAGGTTAGAACCAAGGACAGGACAAGCACAGGCGGTGCAATTCACTGTCGCCGACTGAATTGTCGTCAGGCGGGCTGCTGCAGAGCAGCAACGACGCACACTAGGGAGCGGAGATCACACAGCGGACCCGAGACGACAAGCGGGATGCGTGCGAGGTGTGAGTGCGCATGCAGCGTGCGAGTTGCGCTAAGGCATTGGACAGGGACTTTGTGATTGAAGAAAAAGGAGTTCGCGGAGCGCAGCAAGGTCTGGGTAGAAGAAGCAGGTGTGGCACAATTGGCTCGCAGAAACAGCCGAAAGGACTGCAAACTGCCAACTCAGATCCCTACCATCCTTTGAGACCTTTGGGCACGTTTAGCAACATTGAGCAATGTGTTTGGGCCAGGACAGACTGCGTGCATCTTGTTGAGCGCGTTAGCGCCTCGACGCCTCGGTCGTCTGCCAGGACCGAGGCCGCACGACCGAGCCACCCCAAGTACCGAACCCCGGACCGCAATGTTAGCCGTCCAGTAAGATCCTTCGTGAAGTGTGGGACACAAGGGAGTACATATGCTTAAACCATTGGAACCAGCCGCCGAGTGGGCCGGGTGAACCAGGTTCACCGGACCGGAGAGTGGGAGGGTGCTTCCTGGAACCCCGAGCGGGCCGGCGAGACACGTCATCGCCGAGTCGCACAGCACGCTGCACATGCCGATCTGCAGGATCCTGCGCGATCAGATTGGTGCCGCAGGGTCGAAGAAGGCTGGTCACACGCCCGAGGCCGAGTGCTGGAACCCAGCAGGAGGAACATGGAGTGTGTACGAGAGTTGGTGCGAGGTGAAGGAGTACGAGGCTTGTGCGTTTCGAACGTTCGGTCACACCTCGCTCCTCGCTTGTCGCAATCTCAGGTAAGAGCATGTGGTGTGCTACATGTGGTGCCCGCAAGCATGTGGCGACGAATGATGTGCTGGGCAACTCACAGCAGAGAAAAATGCGTGCGGAACTGCAACGAGGCGCACGACGAGCGAGGAACGAGCAGATGAGGGCTGGAAGAATGAGGGACCTTGCGGTTCCAGTGCACCTGAAGACGGCACTCTTACGTTGATTCCCATGCTATGCCTGGCCATCAGGTCATGCTCGTTAACCATCAGCTTCTGGTTATCGCTTCAACACACAGCCGGGGGCGATATGCATATCGCCATCTCGTCAGAGGCGCACCATGCCAGGCAGAGCTGATCTCCAGCATTTGCGGCGGAGGCGGCGGAGGCGGCGCCGCCGGGTGGAAGATCCTGGCATCGTCATCCTCTTCCATTCACTCCCAGGCTTCTTCCAAGCTCCAAGCGAATGGATTACGGGACAGTTCCCAGTTCCAGTGAATCAAAGCGCAGGGTGTCGCAGGGTCGCCCGGCGAGCGGGCACTGGAACCGCCCCGGCGACGACGTACTGGAGCCCGCGCCGCGCCCCGGGATCTGTGGATCTCGGCGACGAGTACGGTTGAGGACCGAGGGCGATCGGCGGTGAATTGCAAGAGAGCCTCACCGAGCCGGCTGTCTGAACCATAAGATCTCTTTACGACCGTTCAGCCCACGGCCTGGGCTGCTCGAGACTGTCAAAAGTAAGCATTAGGTGTGGCTGTGCGGAAGTGTGCTGATCCAGAACAATCTCGCACCTCTACAGGGACAGCAAACGTCCGGTCTGTGCCAGACAGAAGTCGAACAACCGCTACTCTATCTGGAGCTCGCTACTCAAGCTCACACCCAAAGCCAATGATGGAATGTCCGGGCCATATCTCATGCTGTTGTGCTTAACTCTCTCGCACTTCGGAATCCGGCCTGGTATGCTTGACGACTCACTCCTGAGCCTGTTGTGCTGACCTGGAAGCTAACCTGAGTGCTGACGTCCGTGGCGACAGGGCCCAGAGCCCAGACGTAGGGAAGCAGACTCAAGGTTGTTCCTCGGATCCTCGTGCTCCCTCCGTGCCCTCCGTGCCATCCGTGCGTACCTGCATGCCTGTGTTTACCATGGCCTCATGTGTGTCCGCATGTGTGGACGAGGAACATTACGTCCTAGTCGCCCTTTGTCCTTCACATCTGGCCGTTACCCATGTGGGTCCGCTTGACCCTGTTCGTGGGCGTGGGTGGCTTTGAGCTTCCATGGACCTGCTCGAACTTCCAGGGATTCTCCAAAGATTCGTCCACTGCGGTCTCCTCTTTTGGTCCAGAACAGGGTCAGCATGGGCTTGTGCATACCGCCTCTGACGTACGGAGTGCTGACTACAGCCGACGACGGCCCAGATCCGATAAGGGGCGGAGAACGCCGCACCTACGCCGCAGCGCGGCGACAGCGGCGGCAGGTGTGATCAGCAACACCCTCTGCGGTGCTGCCACCCTGTGAGCATGACGAAAAGACAATGTCATCTTCATCACAAGCCGAGGCTGGTGGAAGACGACCGTTTATGTTCGGCATCCCATCACTTTACTGCTTGCCCCATATCGGTCGTCCTGGAGCGTCGGACAATTGGCGGATAGAGGGGGTTGGCGCTGCCCCATCGACCTCAGCAGGCCTGGCCAACGGCTGATGAGCCTTTCACTGCATACTCCCTCATGGGACCATCGGGGGAGGTAGGAATATGCGAGGTGGGCACAACGGCGGCACGGTCATTGATCCCGAGCTCGATGTCGGAGGCTATATCATGGCGTACCAGCGGTGCAGTGCAGAAGCACTTGCATCTACGAACACCCGCCCCCGCTACAGCGCGCACACGACTGACTGTCACAACTCATGAGAAGATAAGGGTGCAGATAGACTTCGCTGAATACGCCACTAACCCGACTGTCCTGATGCCCTTTGACTAATCCGGTCGACCGGACATGGCGCTTGCCCAACCTGACCTTATCGCGGATGTGCGCGGCACGGAGGAGCCGAGTAAGCTTAGCAAAACGAGGGGCCTCCTTCATGCGCACACCCAATGCATCATTGCTTCGTGATGCCTGGAGCCGTACTGAGATGAGGTGGTCACCGCTTGATCTGGCGTGCTTGCTTCTGCTTGAACTCTTCCGCGAGATGGGCTTTAAGCTGGGGCATGTTTCCAAACTCCTTGTCGCAGTGTAGGCAGACGAGTGGAGATTTCAAGAGGGCCTCCTTGTCACGCTTCACAATCACGAGCTTCTGCGCCAAGTCAGCATCGCCTCCGTTCAGTGCGCCACGTCCAGCTCAGACGAGATCTACCTGGAAGGGCCATAGTCGTTGCTTCCGCCCTCCTTGGCAGAAATGAAAGAATAGGGGGGAATAGTGGGAGGCCGGAGCCTTCCAGCAATTCAAGTGGTCGGACAGGGTTGTCGTCTCATTCAACTTGGACATCCGTAAGGACGGATACCGGTGTACGCCCAGGAACCACCCGGGTCCTGCTCGGTTCTCGCCCATGTGATGCGGGGGTGCCCAGGATGCGAGTAGACGCTCTCCAAGATGCTGCCGCTCGCCTCGACGTCCGACAAGAGGCGCACCCGTTCCTCAAGGACGGACACTCGTCCCTCTCAGTACTCACGTCATCAGTCTCATCGAGAGGCACAAAGAATCCCAGCTTTGGGTTGAAGCTGTTGTAGTGCTTCTTCGTCTTCAGGCTCGGGGACACCAGGTCATCGGAAATCACATGCAAATGCAAGTGCCTGTGGGCGGTGTTAGCTTCCGACGCCGCTGGAAAGCGATGGAGACTGTCGCCGGACCGAGATCCGCTCGCGGTGAATCCCGCACTGAGACATCGCGGAAGTGTGACCGCTGGATGAATGTAGAGGAACAGGAACGTCAAGAATGGAAAAGGAAATCTGCAGGAGGTCCCTCGTCTCCGATCAGACGCGGTCACCATGGCCGCACGGAGTCGATACCCAAACTTCTGTCAGAAGGGTCGTTACGAGGGCTGTCCTGGTTCCTTCGACCGCGTTTCTTGGAAAGCAGATGCCCTTGAGTCATCGCACTCTGACAGTGTCTGTCCCTGCTGCGGTGCTACGGACATTCACGGTGACGCAGACGACGGTGGTCGCTTGACTCTTACCTCATAGATGGGACGGAGTGGAAGCCGGTATTCACGTGCCACTCCAAGCCATGCGTCTTGACCATCTCATCGCGCACCATGTCCACGACCTCTGCAGCAGCCTCCCTCAGAGCTGCAAGAACCTCCTCGTGGTCCGGGTCCTGAAGCAGTACGCTCAAGTTGTCGAGATCAGCTTCCTTGAGCTGTTTTGTCTCCGTGACGACGAAAGGGATCTTGGGCAGGACGAGGAAGTGGTACATCGCCTTGGGATAGGCGTCGAACACTGCAATACATTTCGGCGTCTCCAGGAGCAGCACGCTCGGGGGAAGCGACGCCGTTGGGTTCTTCGCCTTCGCAAAGTCTCGGAGAGCGAACAGGTTCATGGCCCGCAGTTCTGCGCCTCTGGCGTCTTTGACCCGTGGCGTTGAATGCCTCAGCCTCCTTCGGAAACGAGATCGGTTGCGATGTTTGGAATGTCCGTGCACCTCAGCTGACGCTGAGAAGAGCTCGAGGGATGCACGAGGTTCTGTTATCAACAGCCTACGTATTTCCTTATCGACGCTCTGATGAAGCAGAGCTAATCGGCGTCCGACGACGGGGTCTGCTCTGAACTGGGGAGAATGCGGGGCCAGCTTCAACGGAGTCGTACTCTCGTGGAGCCTCCACCACGTTGCCTTCGATACCAATCTGATCGTTCAGCTCAGTTCGCAACACCGCCGACAACCTGAACGCTGGCAACGTACCACGCTGTAGGTCGTCGAGCGAGCCTAAGCTGACGTCCGAACTAGACCCCGAGGTATACCGTTGACGTTATGTGAACAGCAGGCACAAGGCTGGAATCGTCCGCAGTCTGTCAGGATGTCGTGATGACGAGGCGTCTCTGTCGCTGGGCACGTTTCGATCTGTGAAAGAAGCTCTTGTCGGTGCCTGATTCGAACGGACTTCCAGTTTCAGTACGTTGCAAGAGAAAGCGTGAGAGCGATGCTGCGGTTTTGAGCTCCCGAAAGCTGGAACGTCAAGGTCAAGATCCTCTTCACATCTGGGCAATGCCCAGCGCCTCTGAAAAGAGAACTGACCTCGTGGATCTTGACTCTTGCTCTTGTGAATGTTAACAGCGTAAGTGATGCGCTGGCTGGTTTCAAGCCCGGTACGTCGAGTGTGTGGGAAGTGCTGAATCGTTTGAGGAACGCGTAAAGACGCGACATGACACAATCATCTGCACGCGGACTAGACCTCATCTCCGCCTCACGTGAGTGGCACGCGACTCAGATCACGTGAAGCTCAAGGCGGTCGCCGGAAGTTCGGAGAGGCAGGCAAGAGCACGATGGTCACCCGACAGCATCGTCTGACATCCTCTGAAGGGTGCAAACTGCGGTCCAGAGCATCGATGTACCCTCGACGCGGGACTTTGTTGTCAAAGTTGACAAATGAGGAGGACGCGTGCTGCGGCCCCGCTCCAGGATCATCCAAACGAGAGCTGCCAGCAAGGCCGGGCCATGACCCGACGTCATGTGCGGGCCATGAATGACGTCAGGTGCCATTCGTACGGTACTAGCCATCCACTCACAGTGTCAGGTTTCTGGTTTCGCGGCAGGGATTGACGTCATGACAAGCATGCAACCGGCTCGGCTGTTGGCATCAGTGGCATCAACGGGACTCCTTGTGCTCCAGGAGGTCCGAAAACTGCTCGTCCTGCTGGCCCTTTTTAGACGCAGCGCGGGACTGTGAACAGACACCTCCCACCTCCGTTTCTTGCTACGAACAACGAACACAATGCGTCCTGCCGCCATCCGCCTCTCTGTCTCTCGCGCCCAGGGCGCTATGGTGAGTTGCTGCAATGTTGCGGACGCGATCAAGCCGGGTGGCTTGACGTGGCTGCTCGCTGCCACTAGGCGTCGCGTCTGGTTCGTCCGTGAGCAAGTTGGCTGACTTTTCCCTCAGCGCCCCGTCGCCCGCCCCATCGGCATGCAGGCTCGCCCTCGCGTCGCCCAGCAGTCCCAGAAGATCTCGCAGGTCCGCTACAACTCGTCGTCCTCGGGCGGCTCGGGTGACGTTCCCAACACTGTCATTCTCGCGACTCTTGTCGCTATCGCTGTCGGTGGATACGTCTACCTCAAGCCCATCCGCAATGTCGCTGCCAAGGTTGACCAGGCCACCGACCAGCTCCAGGGCGTCGGCCAGAAGGCCCAGAAGCTCGCTGAGCAGGGTGCCGACATTGCCAAGGAGGGAGCTGAGAAGGTTGCCGACCAGGGCGCTTCCGGCCTCATGGACCTCGCTGGCATGATCTGGCCCGCTGGCGCTGCTCTGGCTACCGGCGGTATCGGTGGTCTCCTCACCCAGCTCAAGGGCGGTGACCTCGACAACGTCATTGAGAAGCTCAAGAAGTACGGCGGTGACGATGTCAAGAACATTATCGACGAGGTCCAGAAGGCCCTCCAGAAGGCTGACAACGACCCCACCAAGGTCGACTGGAAGTCGCTTGCTCAGTCGCTCTCCAAGCAGTACGGCGGCAAGTACCAGAGCACCATTGACGTGAGTACCGAGGCATTTTTGCGAATTGTTGGAGCATTATGCTGATACGTATCCCAGACCCTGATCGGCAAGGTTCCCTCGCAGGACGAGATCAACGACTACCTCAAGAAGGCTAAGGAGGCCAGCAAGGACCAGCTTAAGAAGCTCGACGACGCTGCCAACCAGGTCTACAAGTCGATTGAGAAGGCCTCGAAGGACGGCAAGGACAAGGGCGAGGCCTTTGTCAAGGGTATCACGGACGCCACTCCCGATGACCTTAACAACATGATCGACCAGGTCAAGGACATGGCCAAGTCTGTCGGTATCCCCGCCGACCAGATCGAGAGCTACCTCAAGGTCAAGGCCAAGGACTCGATCACGAACGCGCAGGAGTGGGCCGACACGATCCAGAACAACGCCGAGACCTTCATCCAGTGGTCGCCCGTTGGACCTGACACGATCGTCGAGAAGGTCTCCGAGTTCTCCCCCGCCATGGGCAAGGTTGTTCAGGAGCTCCTTAACGACGCCCAGGACAAGCTCAAGCAGGGCAAGAAGGTCCTCGACAAGGAGGGCGACAAGGCCAAGAAGGCCATCGACCAGTCGAACGACTCGTCCTCCAAGTCGTCCAAGAAGTAAAGACAGTAACAGTAGACAAGTAAAACATGTAGCAATTGGGAACCATCATGCATCTTTCTTGAATGTAGGCAAAGTGCACGCGGCTGCTTTGTGAGACGCACAGATAGAGAAGGTGGTCACCGAGGTCGTCGCGTGATTCACCGATGTGACGGGCGAAGTCCGTGAATGAGACCTGTGTCCGTAGCTTGGTGGGGCCACTTGTCACATTTTACGCACCTGCGCACAATGCGCAAGCGTCCGCTGTGCACGCCACGGAGCGTAGCGCCGTTCTCGCAATCTTCTGCATGCATAACGCCTATTTGTCGTGACGGAGGGTCGCCACTGGGTGGGTGGACTGCCCCAATGCGGCACGGCCCTGACGCGATTGTCTAGGTGGGGCCCACTTACAGTCCCATGTGCGTCACTCCAGCCGTCGCGCCGCCGCCCGGCCATCCCGGGTGTGCCAAGCCCAATCGGGACGTCTATATCTCGATCTCCTCATTCCTCCTCTGTGATCCACCCACACCGCTACATTCACCACCATGCGCATCGCCGCCCTCGCCCTCCTCCCCCTCCTCGCTGTACCGGCTGCGGCCGACCTGGCGCAGGACGCGTTCCAGTGGGCCGCGGACATCATCGACGGCAACTCGGCCCCGGCCCCCAAGTCGGACGATGTCCACATCATGAATGGCTGGAAGTACTCCGACTGCGGTACGTGCTGCAATTCGCGAAGAGACACAGCTGACGGAATCAGGTCTCCCCACTGACGCGATGTGAGTGCGGCGCAGCGGCTGACGCCATGCGCGTATGGACGGGGGGCTTTGGGTGGCAAAATGCTGACGACAAGCACGCTCGAGAGCATCGAGCTCTCGCCCGACCCTCCCCAGGCCGGCAAGAATCTCACCGTCACCGTCCGCGGCAGGGCCAACGAGAAGATTGAGGTGCGTCCTGGTGCCGATGCTGAAGCGGCCCGCGGCTGTGTCACCGGGGGTGACACCCCACCCGCGCACAAACACTGACCAGCAGGAGGGCGCCTACGCCGATGTCACCGTCAAGCTTGGTCTGATCAAGCTTATTCAGAAGCGCTTCGATGTCTGCGAGGAGGCGTGAGTTTAGGACGGTAGCGTGCAACTGACCCCCAGCCGTAACGCGAATGCCACGCTCCAGTGCCCCATCCAGAAGGGCGACTACACCGTCGTCCAGGAGGTCGCCCTCCCCAAGGAGATCCCCCAGGGTAAGTCGATCTGCGCAGCAAGTGGAGCTTCTCGAACGCCTGCGACGGATACTCGCACCCCGATTTGCCCGTAGCAAGTGTCGATCATCCTTCGGGTGACCCGACGCAGCTCCTATCGGGGTAGAAACTCGGGGCCACGTCGAGAACGACACAGCTCCACCGTAGAGATTGCGTTCCGTGTTTCCCATCTTGCAGATTTCTTCGGCGGTCGAGCTAACGTCTCAGCCAAGTTCGTCGTCAACGTTCGCGGCTACACTGCCGACGACGACGACATGGTATGCCTCGATCTCGCTGTCGATTTTGTGAGTTGAGCACGTGTGAGGACGACTAACTGACCACAGACGAACCCCGACAAGTTCTGGTGAACGCCTTAGACTCTCGTTCATTTAGCTCATCACGATTCGGCTTCCCTAATGCATTGAATGATAAGGCTTCGGACTCTGTCCTCCTGTGCGCGCGGAAGGGCATATGGTTGCATCTCAGATGATAGGGGCGAATCGAAGGGGGTAAGGTGGGGGATATGGAACATGCAGGGTGATGTGGGCGTCTCTCGGGGTGCGAGAGACTCTAGGAGGGACTGTGGATGTTTCTGTGGATGGGGATAGATGCTTCAGACAGATTGTTCTTATTCTCTGGTCCAGTTCTACGTCGGAGGGGAAGGTGTCGCGGCGGGCCACAATGAGGGTGCAGGAAATCTGCACTGGTCGGGGTGGAAGGAGTAGGTGGCATGAGCGGGAGTATCATCAACGACGCTGCCTCCTCGTCGTCAAAGTCGTTATTGGTCGTAATCAGGCCTTGGGTCTTCACATGCTGGCTAGTGGAGCTGCTCATTCGTGAGCACCGGCAACGTTTTGGACGCCATCGCCTACATGTCCGCCATTGAGCGCAGCGAGGGTCTCGTGGTTGACGACGCCGTTCGTAGCGGTCGCATACGCGGCAGCGACGTTGTGCTCGGCGTGCTGCTGTTGCTGGTGCTGGTGTTGGCTCATGGCGAGCCTGAGGCTGTTCAGATTGTTGACGACGGTCTGATGCGATCTGATATCAGCTAAGTGCGAAGATCGGTTAACTTACGCGGTGAGGAGCTGGTGCTGCTCTTGGAGAACTTGGTGCTGGCGGGTGAGGTTTTCGAACTTCTCCCTCTCCGCCTCGATGTGCGTCACTGCGCGCTCGAGTAGGACCGTCTTGGAGCAGCGCTGGAACGTGGCTGGGAGCGCCTTGCGAAGGCGTTCGAATCCGTCACGCAGCTCATTGCGGCGGCGCTGGCTTCAGCTATGCTCTGTCGCGCTTTCAAGGAGCTGACTCACCTGTTCACTTTGAATGCGGGCCGTCCTGGTGTCGCGTGGGCCCTCCTTCGGCGAGGTCTGTTCCTTGGGCGGCTGGTTGCTGGGCCGATGGTCCGAGTCACTATTGTCAGACCTGACGTTCGGGTTTGCGTCTCGCAGATCTCGGGAAACTCGGGGAACGGCGGGGGCGGCTCTCGTAGACTGGATGGGCTGGGTCTGAGGCTGGGTCTGGGACTGAGTCTGGGAGGGCTGGAAGACTAACTTTCCTGAACGCGGCTCGATGTCGGCGTCCTCCTCGTCGTTGCTTGACCCGATACTGAGCCTGGCACCCTTCATCTGTGCCTGCACGCGTTGCGGGACCGGCTGGCCGAACGGGTAACCTGCATAGGCGCCGGCCCCTGAGCTGAAGGCCAGTGCGTTCTCGGACGGACTGTGAGGCGGCGAGATACCGTGACTACCGTGCACGGCTTGGTTGTAAAGCCAGTTGGCGTGGCCCGGGGACAGGTCGTTAAGCTGCGCGGTGAGCGCGCCGACTGGCGAGATGGGGGTGTGCAGAGTGCCCGGCATCATGGTCGTTGGAACTCCCTGCACACCCTGGCCCGCGATCGAGTGCATGAAGGCCGACGATGGCACCGCCGTTCCGGACACCATGGCGTGGTACTTGACACCACCGTTGGGGGTGTCGGGCATGGTGCCATTGTGGTGGGACTGGTGAGACTGCAGTGCCACGCCTCCGGCATGGCCAGATCCGTAGTTGACTGGGGATGTCAGCTCTCGTGCCACGAACAGTCTCGGGGGTCTGGGGGCGGCGCGGCAGCCGGGAAGCGCCATGGTCGCACGAGTGTCGGAATGCTCGGGGCGCTCGGACTCACCAAGGCTTTGGTCGTAGAGGTATGGCGGTCCGCCATACTGGAATCCCATGCCTAATGTCTGGGGGTCCTGGGGTGGCAGCTGGGGCGAGTGCTGCGAGACGCCTGTGCCGTGACCTTGCGCGGAATGACGACTCACGTGGGAGACGAGATCGATGGGATCCTGCAATCCAACACGGTCCGGAGGCGTCTGGAGCGGGGTCTGGATCGGGGTCTGCGTCGGATCCGTCTTGGCCTTGGGCTGGTTGATGGCCTGGGCGCCGCTGATGTCGGGTTTCTCCTCCTCCTCACCGGGGAGCGGACCGCTGCCAGACATGTTCGAGGGGCTTGACGATCCAGGCGAGTTGTTCAGGTAGTCTTTCATTCCTATTCTGGTCAGCACCCATCTTGGGGGGAGGAAGGTGGGCCAGTTGGCTGGGGCTATGGCCGGCAAAGCTTGGACCGAACTGCCAACTGCCAGGGGTGCTTCGTGTCTCAATGACATAGTACATGGAATATCGAGGGGTCGTCGTCGTCGAAAGCATCCGCAACATGACCATCAGACCGCGCTCAGGCAGAACTGTCGGTGCAGACGACGGCGCATCTTCTGGGTTCGCTTGCGAGGGGGCGCTTGCCAGTTCGAGGCAAGGCAAGGACTCTGTGTCGGAGGCACAGACACAGCGATGGGTCTAACTCGATCGGTGACTATCGTGCGACGTACGGAGGGGGCTTGTGCCAGTGCAGAAGGCAGGGAAGACTGTGGAAGCAAAGGAAGTGGACTCACAGAATAGGGAAGGCGCGAGACTGCAAGGGAAGGGATGATGAGAGTTGAACTGATGGCGAGGGCGAGAGGTTAAGTATGTGAACGGCAATGATGAGAGAAGCAGAAGTGAGATTCCGTCAGTTGCCTGGGAGAAGCGATGTCAGCAGTGGAGAGAGGAAGAGCGCTGTGGGTGTTCTGGGTGCCAGACGCGACTCACGCCAGCTGGTATGCCGCAACAATGGGATTTCGGACGGTGCCAGGCGTGAAGGGCTGTGGCAGCGCGCGGATATGATGGGGTCGGGGTGGAACTCAGGGGCCCTGGGGACACACACAAGATTCCAAGGGAAGTTGAACGCCCAAGGTACGAACACGATGTGAGGTCGAGGGTCGCGAGGATCTTGAAGATGGGAGGAGCAGCGGGATGCAGGCGAGGTACGAGAATCGAGGACGAGGATCAAGGAAAGAGGCGCACCGCGCGTCGACGGCGTAATGCGCAGAGGGCCAGAGGCGGAGGGAGCTCAGGCGCCGAGAGACGCAGTGGTTAGATGTTCAGGCGGGTTAAGGGGAAGTGGAAGAGAGAGAGAGAAGGGAAGACGTGAATATGAGAGGCACAAAGGGGGTCCGAGCACTCGAGCGCGATCGTAGCCATGTCACCCACGGTACGCTGCCCCGCCGCGCCCCTCGCCCTCCGCTGCCGAGGAACGACGAAGCCACCGATCCCAGCGCAAGCGGCACGACCATGCAGTCCGTGCAGAGCCGCCCTTGGTCACGGAGCCTGAAGCCTAAATGACTCCTTGGATCCTTGAGACGCCATGGCAACCTTTGGGTCTTGGAACGACGGACGCGTGAGTGCCGCGCTCCCCCTCGCGTGCGTCGCCTCTCATGTCCCCGGCCCCTCTCATTCCATCTTTTCATCGTGCTCCTGAGACATCTGAGACGTCGGCGATGCAGCTACGGGGAATCATGCGCTCGATGGTGCGATTCGCAAGCCCCGTACGCTTCGGATCAGACTGGTCAGATCGGTATTCAGCCGACACTGCGCCTTCCCCGCCATGTCGTGTCCCGCTGTGCCCGACCAGTCGCGACCAAGATGCCCCGAACCAGGCATCCAGGCCTTTCTTCGCATTATATTCTCCGCGAATCAATCCGTTAGAGTTCCCATCACCGCGACCTTGAATTGTCACAGGCGGATCCAGTGATCATATTGCCCGCAGTCCGATCTTCGTCAGAGCACAGTCAATGTCATCGAGTCAACGCACATCGTCAGCACAAAGCAGCCAATACCACAGAGACCGCCAGTCTGCAGAGCTGCACCATCGTTTGATGCCCTCGGGCTCGCCAATCTGCGTGACTCTGGGCAGGCGATTGGTATTGCGTATCAAGGTATTTGGAAACACATGGGTCAGCCTGGTCAGCCCAGAGCACCCAGTGTCTCAGATTCAGCGCACCGCAAGACTTTTAGGCTTACGCCTCAATCCATGTCTGTCTTCGTCGTGACTGAAAAGACGTCTTCTGCGTTCTTCTGGCATTCTGCGGTTCGCGTTGCGCGACTGCGTCTTCCGATCGAGGTCTCGGTCGTGCCGCCTTCATGTGCTTGCGGGCACTGGAATCTTGGAGGAGGGCGGCGCGGGCACGCGGCCGTGTGGTGCTGGCCGTGCTGCGTGATCGGCTCCGCAGAAAGATGAGGTATGAGATGCGAGATGCTGCGAGGTGAATCAGTGTTACAGCTGTCAGCGCCGAGCGAGAAGACCCCACCGCCCACTGTCTACCTGCTCGCCCAGCAGGCCAGGCCCGGAGAGCTCTCGAACGAAGACCCTTGACCCCAAGGACCTGTCGGAGCGCATAGACTTGCGGCAAGCATATGTGACGATAGGCAAGTGCGGTCCCCAGACCGAGGGAGAGTAGGCGCCCTCGGATGCAACGCGGGGAAGGCCCTGGGTCATGCGTCGCGGTCAGCGGGGCGCGGCTCCTAGCGAAGAATGTGATGTCTATCGTGCTGTTCCTAAAGTATTGTGGGCGTTCAGGTCGCGTGCGCACGGGCGGCGCCGCCATCTGCCATGAAGACAGGTCATGAAAGCCATCTCGTGGCGCCTTCCTCGCCTTCACCGTCTTCCCCGCCTTCCCCGCTGGTCGGCTGCGCTCGCCACCGTTGCCATTAGCCAATCGTGGCACTCGTGGCTTGTGTGTGTCGCGTGGCCGAGTTGCGCACCCGCTCTACAGGACAGCCATATCAGCTTGAAGGCGCGGCGGTGCTCTATCATGACCAGTCCACACAAAGCATAGCGGGGTGCTGGCTCCGCCCTCCGTCCTCCGGCCGCGCCGGACTGTCTTCCTCGCCCTTCCTCGCGCCCTTCCTCGCGGTCTTGTCGCCCCTCGATCCTGGCAGCGCCGTCGAGCATGTGAGCATGCGGCATGCATGCATGCCTGATTGGCGTCCGCACTTGTTTGATGCTGCTGAGTGAGCATCGTACGAGCGAGACAGTGCTGCGCTCCGCCTTATTGTGCTTAACCTTGAAACGCGATCTGGCGTCACCGACGCATTCCAACTCTGCGACGCTGAGGAACCATGTCGGCCATCGTCAGTCACATCAGTGTGTTCGGTGTTGTTTGAAGTCGAGAGAGAGGTACGATGCGATGTGGAGATGGAGAGTTCGCCGATGGGTTTCGGTGATGAGTGAATGTCGAACAGCTGACGACGAGACAGTGTACACTGCATGAGCAGCATGCCTGTGCAAGAGCAGTATTCGCTGCGTACAGGGTCAGGACGTTGGAAAGTCCGTTCTCGCCGTCGCTGATAATGTCGGCAGGGCCAGGCAGGGAACATTTATGCGGTGGGGTGATGGACGTGCGCCGCTATGTGCCGCTCGGTGGTATACCCGGGATGCAGGGAGGGCGGGTGCTTGGGTGCGGTTTCGCCGACGGACTGCAACGGGCGACGACCATCAATTCGTCAATAGGCGATGGTTGTTTGGCTGGAGGGCTCTGACTGCATGTCACGTGAGTGCGGGGTTTCTTTGGGGTGCCGTGGGGGCTTTCTTTTCATTGCTCGAAGCGAGGTCCACACAATCCGTACAATCGAGAGAGGCACCCTGTGCTCACCTGCATCAGCTGACGAGTGGGTCGCCAGATTGGTTTGCCGATCTGCGGCTGACGATGCTCTTTTGGCACGCGCTTGAGCACATGGTGCATAGTGCACCCGCACTGAAGCGCGCTGGAAGCAAAGCCGCGAGGGCCGGTAGGCGATAATCGGTGTACACCGCCGCCGGGACAAGCATTGAGGCTATCCATGGCCTTCAAGCAGCCGGTCACGATGGTGTCGTGGATCAAGACTGTCATCGGCCGATTTAGGCGGTTTTGAGGTTTACGATCTTTACGAAATGATGATGTGGCAGACTAATGTCACAAATAGTATTGTAATCTGAGAAAGGCGCTGTCAATAGAAACGTGGCGTTGTCAATAATATCACCCTGACAATTTTCCTATGCATGTCTTCTGGGACTTCTCACCAGCGCTCGCCATTAGGTATCGACACCTCAAGATTGGATACAACCCCTCGGTCCAAGGCCCCAGGCCCGCGGCCCCCAAGGCGCCGATGAAACGCGGTCCCGGGCAAGGCCGCGATCGTGTGTGCCCGCTCGCTTCACCTGCGATGCCTGCGACGTGCCGGGTCAGTTCCAACGCAGCGCACCGGCTCGTCGGTTGTTTCTCGGTGCAGGCTCAGGCCAGAGCCGACGCGTGCATTGAATGCAAGGCGATGGTCAGCTGCAGTGATGGTTGAACCTGGATTCAGGTCGCGGCCGACGTGTGCCGATATTCCCGAAAGGGTGTGACGTTGGTTGTCTACGGAGAATCGGGGTTACAGGCGTGCCAGCGCTGGTTGCGCCCTGGGACATAGGCGACTGGCGAATCATCACCCGTCTAATGCATGGAAACCGATTTGGGTGGAGCGTAAGGTTGCCTTTTCGCCTTGGATCGATCTCTCCTTTAAAAGTCAACCAAGTGATCGACTTGACTCTCTCCCACCTATTCCTCCCCACTCTTCAGCATGATTACCCATCGTGCTACCGCCTCGATCCTTCGTGGTGCTCGCACCTACGCCACCGTCGGTGGTCGTATTGGCGAGACCAAGGTCCCCATGTCCAACCTCGAGAAGGGCAAGTTCGTCAACTACCAGCGCATCGAGGACAACCTCGCCGTCGTCCGTGACCGGTAAGTATAGAGCAATGTTGATATCTGGTACCGAGCAAGCAGCCTCGATTGCCAAGGGAACATGAGGGCTATAGCTGCGAGCTGCCGTTGCACGAAAGAGATCGAGTGATGGAGGTGCACGCAGCCGAGCCGAAGCGAAAACTGGGCGCGGGCGATCAGCAAACCTGTTCGCCCGGATAAGATAGACCGGTCCGGTCCGTGGCGCCGTGCGTCGTGAAAGCGATGGCTAGTGATTCGCTCGCTGTTGTCCGCGACGAGCAGCTAGTCCGTCGCCAAGCTCTTCCCAGCTCTCATGCGGCGTTCAAGCCATCGTCATCGATGCGTGGTACATTCCCTGGGTTTTCGTCCGCGGTCCCGTGACTCGGTGACTTCATACCCCCCTCCCCTTGATATCGCCCATTAAAACCGAACTTGGACCGCCGAAGCTAACAGCCTTAGTCTCCAGCGCCCCCTTACCCTCGCTGAGAAGATTGTCTACGGTCACCTCGACAACCCCCACGATGCCGAGCTTGAGCGTGGTGTCTCGTACCTGAAGCTCCGCCCCGACCGCGTTGCTTGCCAGGACGCTACCGCCCAGATGGCCATCCTCCAGTTCATGTCCGCCGGCCTCCCCGAGACCGCCGTTCCCACCTCCGTCCACTGTGACCACCTTATCCAGGCCCAGGTCGGTGGTGCCAAGGACCTCGCCCGTGCCGTTGACCTCAACAAGGAGGTCTACGACTTCCTCGCCACTGCTTGTGCCAAGTACGGCATCGGCTTCTGGAAGCCCGGATCCGGTATCATCCACCAGATCATCCTCGAGAACTACGCTCTCCCCGGTCTCATGATGATCGGTACCGACTCGCACACCCCCAACGCCGGTGGTCTCGGTATGGTTGCTTGCGGTGTCGGTGGTGCCGACGCCGTCGACGTTATGTCCGGTCTCCCCTGGGAGCTTAAGGCCCCCAAGGTCATTGGTGTCCACCTCGACGGCCAGATGTCTGGCTGGACCACCCCCAAGGACATCATCCTGAAGGTCGCTGGTATCCTCACCGTCAAGGGTGGAACTGGTGCCATCATCGAGTACACCGGCCCCGGTGTCGAGACCCTCTCCGCCACCGGCATGGCTACCATCTGTAACATGGGAGCTGAGATCGGTGCCACCACCTCGCTCTTCCCCTACAACGACTCGATGGCTCGCTACCTCCAGGCCACCGAGCGCTCTGAGCAGGCCAAGTACGCCCAGGCCTTCAAGAACAACCTCACCCCCGACCAGGGCGCTGAGTACGACCAGCACATCACCATCAACCTCTCCGAGCTTGAGCCCCACATCAACGGTCCCTTCACCCCCGACCTTGCCACCCCCATCTCCAAGTTCGCTGAGGAGGCCAAGAAGAACGGCTGGCCTGAGGAGCTTAAGGTCGGTCTTATCGGTTCGTGCACCAACTCCTCGTACGAGGACATGTCTCGTGCCAACGAGATCGCCAAGCAGGCCCTCGACGCCGGCATCAAGGCCAAGTCTGCCTTCACCATCACCCCCGGTTCCGAGCAGGTCCGTGCCACCATTGCCCGTGACGGCTTCATCGACACCCTCGAGGGTGTTGGCGGTGTTGTCCTCGCCAACGCCTGTGGCCCCTGTATCGGTCAGTGGGACCGTCGCGACGTCAAGAAGGGCGAGAAGAACTGTGAGTATTTGCCTCCGCTCAGGGTCCAGACAAGCGATTCGCTTAGCGGTCGCCAATCAGGTTTCTCCGGAGCTCCTCCGTTATCAGCTTCCGCCGATCGCTGACGACATCTAGCCATCATCTCGTCGTACAACCGTAACTTCACCGGACGCAACGACGCCAACCCCGCTACCCACGCCTTCGTCGCCTCGCCCGACATGGTCACTGCCATGATCTTCGGTGGCTCGCTCTCCTTCAACCCCCTCACCGACTCCATCAAGGGCCCCGACGGCAAGGAGTTCAAGTTCCAGGCTCCTAAGGGCCAGGAGCTCCCCGTTAAGGGCTACGACAAGGGTGAGGAGACCTTCCAGGCTCCTCCTGCCGACGGCTCCAAGGTTGAGGTCAAGATCTCGCCCACTTCCGACCGTCTTCAGGTCCTCAAGCCGTGAGTATTATTTTACAATTATTTATTATTATCAAAATTCTTTCGCTAACAGCTACAGCTTCGCCCCCTGGGACGGCAAGGACATCGTTGACGCCCCCGTCCTCATCAAGGCTAAGGGCAAGTGCACCACCGACCACATCTCCGCCGGTGGACCCTGGCTCAAGTACCGGTGAGTCTTGATGCGTAAGGGAATGATTCTCCCTGGATATACGCGGTTGTCTCCGATCGCCTTGCACTTTTATCGTTTTCTACAGCTTGCTGACCCGTGCAGTGGCCACCTCGAGAACATCTCGCAGAACTGCCTGATCGGTGCCATCAACGCCGACTCCGGCGAGGCCAACTCCGTCCTCAACCAGGTTACCGGCGAGTTCGGTGCCGTTCCCACCGTCGGTGCCTACTACCGCGACCATGGCATCCCGTGGGTCGTAATTGGTGATGAGAGTGAGTTTTCCACCTTTTCTTTTCGTGATGCAGAGAGGGAGGAAAAGCTTTGAAAAACGTCTTGAAGAGGTCGTGGGGAGTGTAGAAACGCATTCGCGACGTTGGTGGATGATAAGCGCCACAACCACGTGTGGAAATTTTGCTTCCGCAATTCGACCATCCACCTCCACCTCCACCTCCACCTCCGCCCTCCATCGCTGCCACCCCGGCTGAGATGATTCCACGGGGCACAAGGATTGCCTCAGGCAGCGTTGATTCCTCGACAAGGCAAAGCTGACATTGAAGATTACGGTGAGGGTTCGAGTCGTGAGCACGCCGCTCTTGAGCCCCGTTTCCTCGGTGGCCGCGCTGTCATTTCCCGCTCGTTCGCTCGTATCCACGAGACCAACCTCAAGAAGCAGGGTATGCTCCCCCTCTGGTTCGCCAACCCCGCCGACTACGACCTCATCACCGGCTCTGACAAGCTCACCATCCACGACCTCGCCTCGCTGGCTCCCAACAAGCCTGTGAAGATCACCGGCAAGCGTGCCGACGGCTCCGAGTACGAGTTCGAGGTTAACCACACCGTAAGTAAAGAACGTCGTCAGCGAGAATGTCGACAACTTCTAAAATCCTCTTCTTCCGTCGCTGACTTCTCCAGTTCAATGAGGGACAGATCAGCTGGTTCAGAGCTGGGTCTGCGCTCAACCTCATGAAGGAGCAGGCCGCCAAGAAGGCCTAAGCTTCTCTTTCTTGAGAAACTTAGAAAACAACAAAAAACGTCGTACAGCAGGAATGATGCAGTTGACATAGGATTATAATACCAAATCGTCCCGAATCGAGCTGTGTACGAGCCACTGACGCAGTACTTGCTTCCCGCATGCTTGACCGGCGTGCAAAAGCATCCTGAGCGCGCAGGACCGTAAGAGTGCTGATGCGAGAGCGATGATGCGCCACAGGATCGCCGCCACATTGGGTTGAGTGGAGGTCATCACTTGGTGGGTGGAGGCAGCACAGACTGGTCCCCTGATCGGCGCAACCGAATGGCGCTCGAGACGTGACAAGAATCATTGCGCCCTACAATCATCGTGACGCGAAGCACCTCGACACTTCTGTGGAGTTTGATGTTCACCTCCCTTGCTTCCTTGGCCCCACCTGGTTCGATCAAGACAAGCTCACAAGCTCCACTGCAGCGCCTCCGTTTTGTCATCACTCCATTCAAGCCCTCATCACTAACCCGCCAATTCCACAGCCATCTAACGTGTTCCATACGAATGCGCGCGAGAGCTCGCATGTGGTGCTCGCTGGTACGTTGGATGGACTTCGTTCATGGATGTCATTGATGCCCACAGGTTCCTCAGCCAGAGCATTCAGCTCTTGAGTTGCTGTACGCCGCGCCCGATTCGACGTTTGCGCCGAACAACGCAAGGTCATGTTCGATTACTTGAACAACAAGGTCGTGGCGATCGACGGCGTCGAGTACATGTGGGCCTTCTCAAAACCGTCCCTCCTTCGCACATTCTGGTTCGATGAGCCGAACCCGACGACCATCTGGTCAAATTGGGGTCAGGTGGGTGTCCCTGTTGCCTGTTGGCATAGCTTTCAACGAACGGAACTAACACGTCACAGAAACTTGCTGACGCAGGCCGTCAGCTTCCGCAGGGAAGCTATGCGCACAAATTCGGGGCCGCTCTCACGCGTGAGAAGAGCGACTTCGGCAAGGGGATCCGGGCGTTCGACGGCTTCGGCGGCTTCGAGGTCGACGACAAGCTCCGTGAGTGCGGCGGGCTGAACGGCAGCGGTGCGATCAAAGACTTTGCCGACGCCGCTCTGTACGCCGTTCGCTCTGTCCTTGACGGCGGAAACCCTCACCCCAGTGCCCTCACGTCTCTGGTCTACGTGGAGACGGGTGTGATCCTCGCCAGGACACACAAGATTATGCTCGGCCACCTGGTGAAGAAGCTTCTCGAGGATCCCAACTGCGCTGCCTCCATTACATCGCCCCGCGATCTCGCCAGCTATCTCGAGGGATGGGAGGTCCCGCAGGGACCTGGAAGGGATCTTGGACCATCGATCAAGATCATGAGGAGCCATTTCGAGAAGGTCATCGCCATCTGGGGTAACACGGATCGACCGGTGAGCTACACTCCTACAAGCGCGTACTGATGACTCTAGCTCCCAGACCTGGCCGAAGCCTGCCTTCCTGTAATCCAGGCCAACCCCGTGCACTCGTGGCTCGAGAGTCACGGCCCGTACGATCTGCAGCTGTACTATGCGCGATCGATCGGGAAGGAAGAAGCATGGCTGCAGCAGCAGCCCGAGACCGAAGTCGAGGAAGCCCTGCGGTCGTTGGCCAAGGACATCGCTGGCAGCGGTTGTCGCGTAAGTCTGAGGTTCTCTCACTCTTCTCCCAGACCTCGCCTTACGAGCAGTCCCACTGGACTCTACATCTCCACGGAGCCAGCCGATTCCCGTTCGCCAACGACAACGAGCTACACTTAGGAGGAGCTTCCCCCCACCCCTCGGAACGACCGACAGTGAGTTGTGCCGGCAGTCAAGTGCCACTTGTGGACGAGACCACCTCCTTGCACGCCCTCCCTCCTTTTTGTCTCCATGTGTCCCCATCTCTCGTCAGCTCAACCTCACATCACGCCGCCTGACATCCCTGTCCCACAGTGTCGTGGGAAACTTCATGCAAATGCTTACATGTCAATGATGGCGGCGCAGCACATTCCCCACCTCCTTCGCCAAGCCTCCTTCCTCGGCGATCTCAAGGCAGCCGCCCGCCAGAACATGAACGAGGACGACGATGAGGACGGCTCGCCTTTGAACATCGATACTCGATCCATGGCAAGTCCGGCGCCCGACGCGGCCCCCGGTAGTTGCGCTCAGCGGTTGGCAGCAGCAACCCGATCTCGTCAGCAAGCGCTTCCCATTCGGGTGCAGTACCATCCCAACGACGGCCGCCGTCAGCACCTGGCAGACAACGAGTCAGTCTTGCAGGCTGCCTACCGCACGCCGGACCTCGAGACCTGCCAACTCGAGCCGTCTCAGCTCGCGCTCGACGCGTACACGTCGGCGTCTGGGTCAGCAGTCCACGACCGCGGCGTTGGCTCATTGAGAGCCACAGCTCGAGCGTTCGCCCGACTTCTTGACGCGGCCGAGAAGGACGACATCCCAAACTTCTTCGACTCGGCTGCAACCCGTCGCGAGCCCTGGGTTTTGGTCAGCAGCTACGACGACGCGACTGTGCAGTGTCATTGACATAAACTAGCCACTGTGCGCCTGCAGGCAGCGACGCAGAGCACGAAGTTACTGCTCATCATCAGCATGAGTGTGGCTGGGGCCGTGTTCCACAAGGTGTTCTACGACGGCAAGCAGGTCTCCCTCGGCCACGCCATCACTCGCGCGCGAGCTGGGATTTCCTCGCGCTGGCAGTACTCCAAGCTGCAGGAGTCGAAGCGACGCCGCGACGTCCGAGCTGGTCCAGTCCCTCCCGGTCGAGATGGCCCGGGCATTGCGCGAGAACGTCGACATTGAGGCTGGTGTGCCGGTACGCCGCCCGTCCTGTTTCGAGGAGATGCGCAAGCAGGAGATCGAGCTGGAAGCGCGCAGCCGGGACAGGACCCGAGAGCAACTGGAGCCGCTGAAAGAGCCCCATTCCGTTCTGCTCGTCGGCAGCGATGGCCCAATTCCCCTCACGAAGCGCCATACCCACCACGTCATGCGTTTCCTGTACAGCATGCTCGCCCACGCGCCCGTGAACGCCGAAGTGTCTGTGACTACTCGCGCAGATGTCGGCGACATCGAGGGCATTCCACAGGGCCCTGCGTTCGCCGAGTTTGTCGCGAATCGCCACTCCTCGCCTGACAAGCACCAGCAATGGGGGCGCCAACTTGGTGTAGAGGCCGTCGAGCTGCGCGGCTTGAGCGGGGCTGGGTACGAAGAGTTCGAGGCCGTCCTGCGATCGCGGGTCGCCAAGAACATCTTCACTGCGTTCTTCATCATGCAGCTTGCCGACCAAGAGGCACAAGTATACTCAGGAGCGGTACTTGTACATGTGCCGGACGGGACGTGGTGTCTCGCGTTGGGGGACGCTGCGTCGTCGCGGCCCGCTCCTCCGATGGCCAAAGGCATCTTGAGCTCGCTAGCGTCGGGCTGCAGGACCCGCTTTGGCATCAAGCTCCGGCCAGACCCGACCATGGATGGATCACTCGACGGCGCTCTCGAGTTCACAGCGAGGCTCAGGGCAGGGCCGCCCGATGATGCAGAGATCGAGCGCACAAACGCTCACGTCTTGAAGGTCATCGAGCAGTCGCCGGCGCTCTACGCAAATGCAGGCGACGACAACGTCGTCGCTGAAGCATGCGCGGAGGTCTTCGGTGGTGAGACCCAGATCGTACTCACCGCGGGGCCAGCAAGGAGGCGTCGTACTTCGAGATAGATGGCCGCGTCTCTCGCTGAAGTTCTCGTCGTGTTCCGGTGTAGGCGGAGCTGGGCGCCAATCGTCACGCAGTAGGGTTCAACCTTCCACGCGTTGGCGTGGAGGCGCTCGAGGGCCTCCTCCGCTCGCTTGGTCGTGTTGAAGATCTGGAAGTCAGCTTAACGGCAAGGAAGGTCTAACCTACTTTTAGCACTTCAACTTTCACCCTCTCCTGCACGTCGAGGGGAAGGCGAAAGACGTCCACCGCCATGATGCGCTCCGGTACGGCCCGCGCACAGCTCGTGCAGAGACCGTTTTCCCTCGCGGTCACGCGTCTCGTACGAGTTGCGGTGACTCAGGGCGCCGGCCGTGCGTCGGCACCCCTTGCGCTTCCCCCAGCCTGGGCACTCAGCCTGCTCCTTGGTGTCGCTCGGCAAAGTCGGGATGAGGATGAGTGGGCTCGGGTCTGACGTGTCGCGAGTTTTCAGCTGGGAGACATAGCGGTTGCACTCCCGCCACTGGCAGCCTTCGCATAAGGAGAGGTAAGGACTTCTCGTCAGTTTATTCGCACGTCGTGGGCAACTCACGGGAAGCAGGGCGGCTTCGGGTTGAGCGCCTCGTGGTCCATGTGGCCGATGATGCGCGACTTGACACAAACCAAGGGGTAACCGCTCCCATCGCAATGCGGACCCTCGCAGCGGGTGAAGGAACTGGCCAGAGTCTTGAAGGTCGATTTTTTATTGCGGGCGAGGTCTGGCTCGAGCTTCTCATAGAGCCGAAATCGTTCGGCATCGAAGCCGCCGACTTCCTTCAGCGTCAAAGCTTCGCGAAAGCACGCGCCGCAAAAGAGCTCCTGCTTCGTTGGCTCGAAGGGGTTCTGGAAGCCCATGTCCGGCACCATCTGCCCCCCGGGGCCGAGCCAGCACCCTGGGCGCTGAGGAGTCAGCTTGAACATGATGCTATCTTACAGTGCATCCACTCTCGGCGATGAGGGCGCTGTTCGCAAGCAGACGCTCCTCGGCGTGCGCATCGTCGATACTTTGCGCCCCTAGACTCCGACGGAGCAGTTCGAAGCAGTCGAGTGCCGGCAGGTTGACCAAAAACTCCGACAAGGGGTTCGTCTCGATCAGGTCCGTGACGGTCGCAGGATGGTCGGGTTGCTGGTCGGTGAGTGCGTGTCCACTAAATACTCTGCACGCGAGACTCACCCAGTCATCTGCTTGCCACCCGCTGAGACACTCCGCGAAGTACCTCTTGGCGGCCTTCTCCTTCGGCCCGTTCGTCTGCGGGACCACAAAGTGCTTCATGATCGTCGCGAGCTCCGGTGGTGTGGAGAATGGCTGGTCGAATTTCAGTAGGTACTGAAACATCCGAGTCAGCAGGTTCGACTGGTTCGGATTCAGCCGGATTCCACCCTTCACCCAGGCGGTTGAGCGGAGAGACGACTTCTCCGAACTACCCCCCTCTTCAATGGAGAGCAGGGCAAGGAACATGGCGCGAGCCACGACCGACAGCTTGTCCTTCTTGCCATGCGCCGAGGAGTCCTGTAACTCAGGCGGAACATGGAAGGATCCATAACCATCGAGAAGGCGGATCCCGGTACCAAAGCCAGCGTAACCGCCGACGTTCATGAGCTTCTGGAAATCATTAGCTGTGAACATAGACCGCCGTTAGAACGCACGACTCGCAGGTCACTCATTGCTCCGCCCTGAGCGTTGGGTTCCCACCACAGACGAAACGTCTTCACATTAGCAGGGTTGAGCACATACGCGATGCCGTCGATCTTTAGCGTCAGGCTCTTTGTGAATTCGAACAGACTGGTCATTGAATCGAACGTCGACGCAGGCGCGTGGAAGAACGCTCGTATCGTCTCGTGGTCGAGCTGCGGAACCTGTTTACTTAGTTCCATTTTAACGCAACTGTCAGGATTCGAACTCACAACGACGCCCATGGCATTGCCGTTGCCCCACCGATTGTGATCGGCTCCCCGGTCTCCTGGTAACGGACGAGGATCTTCGCGACGTTGTGCAGTTGTCGGCGCCGAATCTCATGCCGTTGATGTTGTGACTTGCTAACTGGAAGTCGCATGGACTCGGGCAGTACCAGTAACGGCGACACGAGGCGCTGGTAGTCCGCGCTCGCGGAGAAGTTGGACAGCTTCGAGTTCGCTTTCAACCATTGGCTGGCGGTGATGATGGCTTGCGGGCTACCGCAAACGCCCTTTACGGCCTTCTCACACGTTTCGAATCTGGTTTTAGCTGGGGGCGTTGGTCCGAGCATGTTGGAGGTGTCGACAGGCGGGTCTTTCGACGGAGGGTTGAAGTTTAGATGACAGATAATTGCAAAAGCTTCAAGGCATGCGACCTGACAGGTGCAGAGAGCAGCAAAGGACCCCTTCTCCCACAGTGGGGAGGGGCGCTTGGGGCTGCCGCTGTGCTTGAAGGGAAAGCATGGTCGTCCACACGGCGACCATTGATCGCAGGATCGCCGTGGATCGTTGTGGTTTGCTCATCTAAGCACAGCTGCGAAAGGGGGGTTGGCCATGCATTCATGCATGCATGCCACCATGCAACCATACATTTGTACAGCCATGCACGTTGCAGAGAGCCCTGCATGAAGGGCAGCGAGCTGAGTAGTATCGAGGGCACCTCGCTTGGCATGAGTGGCTTTTCCTCCCACGGACCGGTGCTCACTAAATCAAGGCCAGAGGTCATGGCGATCGCTGATGCCGCGTCCGGAACCTCCAGGCTGCTATTAGAGCGGGATAGGACTCGCATTTCCGGCAGCGTCTCGATGCTTGCTGCCGGCGTGATCCGAATCCACAGAAGAACACTAAAGGTCGTGCTGGTGACGGATGGAGGCTGGGAGATTAGATAGACGGGTGGGTCACCGAGGTACCGATAAGATATGACGGCATACCATGTGAGGGTCCTGTCACCACCAATGGGCAACGGACTTAGCGCACCACCACACACAGCAACCTGTGCCCGTTGCGGGAGTAGGGGAAAAGGTTCCGCCAACGCGCCCAGCGGGTGCAGCAGTGCTGGGATGACGGGTGCAGGCGGCAGCGCCAGGTGTCGGGCACGTCACCCAAGTTGCGACTATCCCATGGGACGGCGGTCAGGTCCGCCGGCCTGGCGATGTCGTCGACCCGCACAACAGGTCTATCGACCGCACCGGTGGGCGGGTGCTGGGGCGCTGTGGAATGACGCCGCGTCCTGACACAGTAGGGTCATTGTCTAATGCAGACCGCAGGGCTACGTTACAAGTCTGAATCGGGCAATGGTGCGTTTCTGTCGTCATGAGTCAGCTTAGCAGATTCATTAGCGAGTGGCGAGTAGGCCGTACCGGCGGGATTAGACGGACTGGACAAGTTGTGCTCTGCTCTCCTCTTGGCTCTTGGTGACTTAGACCAAGATCTGGGGTAGGCGGAGGTTCATCAAGAGCATCATGCAAATCAGCGACAATCTGCATACCAGAAACTCTTTTCGCCCGTCGTCCCTTAAGGCCGGCCCGCCAATATCACTGCGTCACCGTGTCTGTCGCGAGTGTGCATGCGACCTCTTGCCACTCCACGTTCTCCTCTGCGCAACCGCACTCGTTCACGCCGACGCTTCCGGCTCGATCCACTCGACTCCCTGCGACCCTGTCTCGCCTGGTCATAAGGCAAACCATAAGCCACTCGGAGACACGACTATGATCCCACACTCAACCACACTCCCACACCAGCACACTCCACCATACTCTTTCTCACTTGTTCTACCGTCTTTTCGCCCATTCTTACACCACCGTCCCCGCCATGCCGAAGGAGCCATCTTCTTCATCCCACCCGTCGACCAGATCGACCACCAATCCGTACCCGCTGCCCCTCCCTGAGCCGGAGTCCGGGTCGGAACTGACGAAGAACCCCGATTTCCCGGCCGCCCTTGCAGCAGCGTACCAAGATGACGCCGACGAAGAGGGAAACGAAGCCGATGGCGAAGCGGAGGACGTGTTGGATGAGGAGGGCGATGAGGATCTCGCGAAGGAGGACGAGGTTGACGAGGAGGAGAATTCGGAGGAGACCGATAAAGCTGGTGACGTAATCGTAAGCGACGACGAGGAGGACAGCGATACACGAGGACGTTCGTTGCAATGCCAAGAGTCACCAATGTGCATCGTCTTCAATACGGCATTGCTGCACATGCTAACTCTGTGTCACTACGTTCACATGCATATTTTCAATCGTCTGCTTTATGGAGGCTCCGTTGTTTATGTGAAATGATTCAACGCCAATATGGCATGTCGTCACGGGTCAGGCCCAGTTCTCGGACCAAAGTCGCGATTGACTTCTGGCGACTGTCCACTCCGCGTTCTTCGGCCATAGTCTTCAAAGCCTGGTGGACCATCTTCTCCTTCTTGGGCAGCTGAGGTCAGTTTAGGAGACGTCTCTTCTCTTCTTACCTTGATGCCAAGCTGGTCGGCGAGATGGGCTACACCGCTTCTGTCGGTAAAGTCCAGCCTATACTCGCGCCAGTATTGATTGGCAAGAGTCCAAAGATTCTTATAGGAAAAGTCGGTAACGCGCAGCCCGGTGATCTTGGACGACACTGCGGGGTCAGCACTTCCTCGACACATGATGGACAGTTTGCGCCCCGAGAGTACTCACCGGACACGGGCTTCATGAGCTCCTCGAGCGTCTCACTGGTGTTGGCGGACGCTCCTTTGGGCTGTGCACCGGTAGCTGCGGCCGAGGTCGAGCTCGACGCCGAGGCAGCGCTTGACGGCGTCACGGGGGTAGTGGTGGAGGTCGAGCTCAACGCCGAGGCAGCGCTTGACGGCGTCACGGGGGGAAAGGCGGAGTTGGCGGAGGACGAGGCGGACGCGCTCGCTGTGCCCTTCTCGCCCTTCCTCGAAACGAGGTTGCTCAGGTCCGCCTTGACGATGAATCGACCCTTGGAACGGTGTTGATTGACACCGAGGTGCAGACCATGATCGTCAATGCAGTGCTGTGCCAGTTTGCTGGGGGTGTAAAGGCGGTCGGCGTCGCACCCGGGGACGGGGCAGGTCGTCGTCGATCCAGCGTCGAGGCTGCGGATATGCTCGTCGGCCACGTGAGGACCGTGACGCTTACGCTGCCACCATTTATAGCGCTCAACCATCGGGAGAGCGTCGTCGCTCACACAGCCAGGACACAGAATGAGAAACGAAGGATCCTTTCCTGGCGGGATGACAGCTCCGCCGAACGGAAGCGGGTCACCGGCGAGAACATGGGCCTGGCAGTGCTCCTCGTAGCGCCTACGACCGAAGATCCACTCCTGGTCGGCGTCGCAATGATGGACAAACTCGAGAGTGACGTTGACGTACTCCTTCTTCACCACAGAAGCCGTGGACCGCCTCGAGGTTGGTGACGGCTTCTGCTCGTGAGGAAAAAGTCGCCCCGCATTGCTGGCCGTTCGTGGGGAGCGTACAGAGATTTCCCGCACGGTCCCACACGTCTGCATGGTGCACGCCGACATGATCGGCAAACTTAGCCGCCGTCGCGTGCACGCCCTTGCAGTCGGAACCAGGACACACGATATCCGTTCCGACGAGCTCCTCGTACAGGACCCAGTGCTTCGTGGCCAGAGCGGTGCGCAAACAGCCGTGGACGTCATGAACAGTCTTGCGGCTCACGTTTTTGTCGCAAGAGGGGCACTTTCCATTCTCGAGCGACTCACCGGGGCGGGGGTACCTCGGAGTACTGTGCGGCTGATGTGCTTCCCTGGCCAGCTTGGCGCACATGTTGTGATATTGAGTCACATGGTCGCTCTTCAGCATGGCGAACCTGTCTGCCACTGTTAGTCTGTCTTCCTTGGACCGAGTACTAACCGTTGTCGTTGCTGCTGTGGAGTGAGGGCTACGGTGATGGTGGAGAGGGGAGAAGAAGGAGAACGCAGGATGAAGTATGGGATGAAGAAGATGTGCTCTGCAACGTTAGCCTTCCATCTTCGGATCGAGCACTGACTGATGCCTATCCGAAGTGTTCGCGGGCGCGAGGCGTTCACAGGCGCGACGCGTTCACGGGCGCGATCGAAGAGCTTCGGCGGCTCAGGAGTGAGTCGCTGGAGCGCAGCGCGGGACTCTGCGGTCGTCAGTCTTCCTTCCTCGCTTCGAGTATCGAGTACTAACACTCGGGCTCGCCGCGCCAGTGACAGGCGGGGTATGCGAGGTGGTACAGGTGCAAACACAGAGCTGGATCAGAGTTGAAGCTGTCGAGACGTGAGACTGTAGATGTCAGTACACCTTCCTCGTTAGAAAGCCAATGTGCTCGCCACCGAGACGTGCTTCTGATAGTCAAGACTTACCGCCTATGCTCGTCTTTCGATGGGGTCGTAGCGATGAAACGGTTCTGTTTATGAAGTCAAGGTAGTAAGTACGAGTGATGGTGAGATAGGAAGAGGAAGAGAAGAGGTGAAGCGTACGAAGTGAAGAATGCAGCGACGGGAAGGCAGTGTCTTGATCAGTCGTGCCGACGCGTTGTCACCCAGGGGGAGGGGGGCGCTGCGCCCTCAAGGTCTGGAGGTTGACTCAACCGAAGGAGCCCAGCTCATTCTTTGGCCCCCCGCATAGCCACTGGTCCGCCGGACATTCCTGGTGTGGCAGCTGTTGCGCGAGACGCGAGACTGCGCCCATAACAAACGCGTGCGTGAGTCGCTCGCGTCGCCTATCCTGGCAGTATCGGCAAGGCTAATGACGTTCAATGCTACGCATGAAACAACACCGCAGAACACCGTAGATTACCCTCGCACTGCTGTCTCTCAGCACTTATACAAGAAAGATGCAGCTGAAGATGCCAACGCATGCGAAGCTGAGGTGGCGTCACGACCACGAAGCAGCGAAAACGACATTCACACTTGGACGCACCGTGCCTCACACAGAACGCTAGTCCTATGTGTTGCGAGAGAGTGTCCTCTCCATGATGTTCTAGTACGCTCGTCAACTGACGATTCATGGTGTCGCGCACCGCCAAACAGCGACCGCACAACACTGTGACGCCAACCAAGAAAGAAAGATAGGCTAAGCAGGGCGGCGCCACCAAACACGCAGCAGGGTTCAAGTATGTACGTTTAACATTCGCTCCGCTGTTTTTACTCGACATTTTGTATCTACCATTTCTCTCCGAAAACTAGAGATGGAATCTGGTCATGGCTTTCGAGAAAACCTCGAAGAGGTTGTTGTCCGTCTCTACGGCAGGATGCTCGAACAGAGGTCGCTGGTCGTCGCTCGATGACGGGAGCGGCATGGGCGGTGTCGTGCGGACCTACCCCTCAGTAGACTTCGGTCAGCTCCGACAGACAAGCTTCACCGCCACGTGCTGCTTCACAAGAAGTCTTCGAGTCTCGAACATATCCATTCTATATACATGTAAGGCTCCTTCTATCGTCTGTAGCTCTCTATCGAATGCATACTCTAAGTCTCTCATCTTCTCTACGAGGATCCCTTCTCGATAGCTACTCGTCGCCACTCTCGGTCTCGAGCCTCGCTCTTGCCGCCCGTACGACAGGAGGCGGAGCCGAGGAAGTCATCTTACCAAATGGGTCGAACCTGGGAGCGATAGCAGAGCCGGCACCGAACCCGAAGACAGAACCGAACCGGATCCTGAGCCAGAGGCTGAAGTGGAGGCAGAAGCAGACGCTGACGTGGACCGGGGCACTGAGGATGCAGAGCCGAAACCTGCACGCGAGCGAGACAGCGTCGCTCTTTTGCTCGTGGAAGATTCACTCTTGTCGGCCTTGCGGGTGAGCAGATTGCTTGAGGTCCTTCTTGACAATGTTGCTCTGCGCGGACTGGGGATGAACCTTCACGAGATGGACGTCGTGATCGTTGATGAAGTGCCGGACCAGCTGCACACGGCTAAACAGCCTGGTCGCCGGGCAACTGGCGATGGGGCACGCGGTTTCGGATGTTGTACTGAGAAAACGAAGGTGCTCATCAGCGACGTGAGCACCGTGCCGCTTGCGCGGCCACCACTTCCAGCGTTAAACGACCGGGGTCAACGTATCGTCCGCGAGACAATACGGGCACAGGAGGTGGAAGGATGGGTCTTTGTCGTGCGGGATCGTGGCACCGCGATGCAGAAGCGGAAGTGGAAGTGGAAGCGGAGGCTGATGTGGTTTGGGGTCCTGAGGAGGCGTAGCTAACAGTTGAGCGCGAGCGAGACGATGACGGAGCTTTGCTTGTCGAAGACGCGCTACTGCCGGACTTGCGTGAGAGCAGATTGCTCAGATCATGCTTGGCGACGATGGTCTTAGTCGACTGGCTCTGGTTTTTGAGAAGATGCACGTCGTGGTCGTCGACCAGGTGGTTGGCGAGCTGCACTTGGCTGAACAGCTTGGTCGCAGGGCACTCGGCAACGGGGCACTTAGTCTTGGATCCCGGGTCGAGAGAACGAACATGCTCATCGGCCACGTGGGCGCCGTGCCGCTTGCAAGGCCACCCTTTCCAGCGCTCGACCGTGGTCAACCCCTCGTCTCCAAAACAGAAGGGGCAGAGCACGTGGAAGGAAGGATCTTTGCCACGCGGGATGGTGGCACCGCCGAAAGGAAGGACGGTGCGAGCAAGCTCATGCGCTCGCGCGTGGTCGGCGCACCTCTTACGGCCAAAAATCCAGCGATGATCGAGATCGCAATGGAAGGTGTACTCGAGCGTGACCTTGACATAGGTCTTCTTCGCGACGAAGCCGTGCGCTTCCTCCAGGTGGGAGATGGCGTGCGCGCGAGAGCTAAAGGTAGCCCCGCACTGCTGGCCGTCCTGGGCGATCGTGCACGAGTGGCCGTCGCGGTTCCAGACATCGGCGTGGTGGGCGCCGATGTGTTCCGCGAACGCCGCGGCCGTCGCGTGCACACCCTTGCAGGTCGCACCAGGACACACAGTCCCCGTGCCGACAAGGACGGAGTAGGCCGCCCAATGCTTGGCGGCAAGCGTCTCTCTCAGGCACGTGTGGAGGTCGTGGATCTTGCCCTTGAGATCCTTGTCGCAGTGAGGACACTTGTTGTCCTTGGTGCTCTCGCCGGGCCGGGGGTAAAGCAGCTTGGAGCGAGGCTGCGGGGCCTCTGCCTCAAGCTCGGCGCACATCTCAGCATAACGCTCGAGGTGGTTGACGTGAAGCATTTCTACAATCGTTAGCCTCTTTTCCTGAAACAAAACAGCTGTGGTCGCAACGATAATTGCTCGTGGCGGTGGTGACTCACTGAGGTAGGGGCGACGCGCTTCGGAGCGCAAGGAGAGGGAAGGAGGGAGGAGGAGATGGAGATGGAGAGAAGATTGCAACAGTTAGCCTTCTGTCCTGGGACAAAACAGCAGGTGGTCGCAACGAGAATTGCTCGTGGCGGTGATAACTCACTGAGATTGGGGGGACGCGCTGCGGAGCGCGAGGAGAGGGAAGAAGCGGACGGTGCCCTGTAATCATTAGTCTTCCTCGTCCGAACCCTGTTCCTTGATGGTCAAGACTCACTGCTGTGCCGCGTCTAGTACGGGATGTGGAGATAGCAGGAGTAGCCGGCGTGAACGACGCACTTGACTCCCGCAACCCGGAAGAGACGATGGAAGACTGAGAGAAAAGAGATGGGAGAGATGGAGTGAAAGAAACACAGTGACTTGCTGAGTCGTGCTGGCACTTGACTGCGCCCCCGACACCGTGAGGTTGACTGGATCGAAGCATTGAACGCCAATACCCGCTGTAGTCCGTCCACGTGAAGGGCGCTGGTCGATGTTCCACGCCCCTGCTTCCTCTCCATATCTCCATCGTACAGCCCACACGTTCGAACTTCTTGCCTTCCTCAGCTCCGTCGGGCATCCAACTTCAACAGCCATGTCCGAAAACGAGCAGTATCGTAACAACAAGCGCAAGACATCCGCTTCCCCACCCCCAGAGTCGACCCGCTCGTGGATCGACGACAATCTCAACGTCAATGACCCCCGAGGACTCCGGGGTCCAGATCAGAATCTCCCTACGCAGCATCCAAGACAAGGAGGACTTCCACCGCACCGCCCTCGACCTCATCGAGAAGCTCTCCACCCACATGTGGAATAACCTTCTGCGTCATCCGCCAGAACCGCAGGCATCTCTCCAGAGTTCTCAGTAAATTCGGCTTCGTCAGCAAGTACGACCCGGTGCACTGCTTCAGTACATCTTCGACGTACCCTGCGCCGACGCGGGCGCGTGCGCCAGTGTCCCCGAGGAGAAGCAGCCCCTCGATCGCTGCGACAACCCCGATCGCAACCGCCGTGTCAAAGAGCTTGCCGAGCAGCTAGACAAGTTCTTTCTAGATCACGATCGCTTTTGCGACCTTGGGCCTGTAAGTCGGAGAAGCCATTCGAGCTGACGATCGAGAAGCTGCCGTGTGATCCGCCCGGCGAGGGAACGCCTTTCCCCTTCTCGTCTAAACCAGACCCGGAGTCCATGTACAGCCTGCTCGAGGAGGTTATGAAGAATATTGCGAGGAAGAATCAAATCGCTTACGCCCAAAAGAAGTCCAGCCAAAGCTGAGCCGCTTGCCGAGTACATGCAACTCCCACAACGTAGTCAACGAATTTTCAGGAATTCGTTAAATTGTAGTTAGGCCAGAACGCCACCCTCATGCATCATGCAAGAAATACATTTCAATAATTCTAATCGTCGTCGTCGTTGGCCTCGACGCCGACGGGCTTGTAGTGGTGCTCCTGTGGGCGTTTGCGGTGCCTCCTGATCCATCGCTTGAAGTGCCCGATTCCGCGCGCGATGGGGCGCTCGGCGTACCGCTCAAACCCGAAACAGACGACAATGTTGAAAATGGCGATACCGAGGAGCTGGAGCTTGAAGCTGCTCGGGAGCGCGATGATATCGAGCAGCTTGGCAATAGCCTTGGACGGCTCGAGCAGGATGTACGTCGAGAAGCTGAGCAGACCAACAAGACAGATCATCAGCGACGGGTTCGTGTACATCGGCTGGCGGTACGGCGGGCCGACGCTGAACACGCCCGCAACGAGGATGTACTGGAAGCACGAGATCAGGAACAGAGACGTGTTCTCGTAGTTGAACGTCTCGAGCTTGTCGCGGTCGGTCGGCGGCATCGTGTACCACGGCTGCTGGCGGACCCAGAGGAACACGGCGCCCTGGATAGAGGCGTTGATAATGGTCTGTCCGATGATGGAGGTGAGAACCTTCTTGGAAACGAGCGAGGCGGTGGGACGCTTAGGATAGATCTTGGGGTACGGAAGCGTACGGCCCATGGCGACGGCGATGGGGATGATGATGAACAGGTCGATGTAAAGGAACTGGAAGTCGCCGAGAGACGAGGCGAACGAGTACAGGAGCGTGACGGTTGTGAACTGGATGAGCGAGTAGAGAGCCATGTACTTGAAGCACGAGAAGGAGGTTACCAGAGCACAGCGGCCTTCGCGGATGATCTCGACGACGCAAGAGATGTCAGGCGTGCGGGACGTGAACGGCGCGGCGACGGACGCCTCAGCCTCGGACAGCGACACACCGACGTCGGCAGCCTTGAGCGCACCACAGTCGTTAGCGCCGTCTCCACAGAACGTGACGGTGTATCCGAGGGCCTGAAGGCGCTCGACAAGCTCGGCCTTCTCGTCGGGGCTCATACGCGCAAAAATGACACCCTTGACGAGCATGCGGTCCATCGTCTCAAGCGGGGCATACTCCAGCATCCACTTGAAGACGTCACCGGTGAGGGCGAGCTGATACTCGGGCCCCTCGTCGTCGTTCGGGTCGTCCGTGATCGGCTTGAGGGTGTAGTCGTCGAGCTTCTGGCGCTCATCGTCAACCGAGGACCAGTCCAGTAATGCGTTCTCGGTGCAGCCGGTGCCGGGGACAAATGTGGGAATGTAGACGGACGACGAGTGTGAGATGAGACCGCACTCACGCGCGACCGAGATGGCGGTGCGGACGTTGTCGCCGGTGACCATACGGCACGCAATGTGGGCGGCACGGAGCGTGTGGATGTTCGGCGCGGTGCCGGGCTTCAGCTTGTTCTCAAACACGATGAAGCCGAGGAACTGCATGTCGTGCTCGGCGACCTCGCGGCGCATGCGCTGCGCCTTGAGCCACGTCAGTCCCTCGACGCTCTTGCCGGCGATGGCGATGACACGGAATCCGTTGCGCGTGTAGTACGACAGCATGTCCTCGTAGTCAGATGGGAAAGAGTCGGGGTCACAGATCTCCGGCATAACCTCGGGGGCGCCCTTGCAGTAGATCTCCATGCTGCTCGACTTGAGGCGCTTCACGATGACGGTCATGCGGCGGAGAGCAGAGACAAACTCGTAGGAACGGATAACACCGAGCTCGAGGTTGCTCTGCTTGCCCTTGTGCGGCTGAGCGACGTCCTCCATGCGCATGCGCTCTGAGCCAGGAGGGCGGACGACGGACTGGACAAGAGTCTGAACACGCTCGGCGCCGCCGCCACCCTTGACGCGGCGCGACTGTCCCTCGTCGAGCGACCAGCCTGAGTACTCGAACATCTTGATGTCCAGGGTCACCGAGCATCTCGCCGTCGATGAGCTTGAGGGCGTGGCAGGTCGCGAGCGCATACAGCAGCGGTGTGCGGCCGTTCGGTCCGCCAGTCGTCGGCACATCGGTGATCTCAGAGTGCAGCTCGGAGAAGCGGCGGTCGAGGCGGTCGATCGTACGGACACCGAGGACATCGAGGCCCTCTTCTGTCAGAGTTCCCGTCTTGTCAAAGCACACAACGTTGACCTTGCCTCCGATATTGACACGGTTCGGCGAGATACAGAAGATGCCCGACTTGCGGAGGCGCTCAATAGCAAAGGTCGTGCCGATCGTGAGGGTCGCGGGAAGAGCAGGCGGGACAACAATCGTGATCAGGTCGAGAGCACGAACGAGGATTGTCTCCCAGGCGATACCAATGCGGATGAACTGGACTGCGGAAATGGCAAATCCGAAGCCAGCAATCATGGCGAGCACACCGATAAAGTTCATCGAATCGCGGTAGAACTTGAAACCGAGCGGCTTGGGGAACAGCATCGAGCGGACGAGGGCACCCTTGGTCGTGTTGAAGCCGGTGCGGGCGACCATGGCGAGCGCGACGGGCTCGTCGGAGGCGGGAGCCCAGACTGGCTTGGCGCCGGCACGAACACGGATGATCTTGGTACCGCTGAACAGGTAGTGCTTGGCGAGGTCGGCGTCAATGTCCGAGCTTCCAGCCTTGGCCTCACGGGACATGGCGCGGATGGCCTCGTCCTTGACAGGCACCTTGGACACAGGGACCGACTCGCCGGTCAGCATTGACTCATTGACAATGGCGTCTCCCGAAAGCAGCAGAGCGTCGCACGGGAACACAGTCAGCGTCGGGTCCGAGACGTCGAAAATGTCGCCGGGAACCATGTCGGTGCAGTCCACACGCTGCCACTTGCCGTCGATGAGCACGTTCACGGGGCACTCGAAGCGCGACATTTCCCTCATCCTCTCGATCGTGCGCTTCGTCTCGATGAGAGTCGACAGAATCGAGGTGGCCGAGATGAGAGCGATGGCGAAGGCGTAGTAGTAATAATCATCGACGGACCAGAGGGCGATGGACGCAATCTGGAAAACGTAGAACGGGTGCAGGACCTCGTCAACAAGCAGACCGAAGAGACTCTTGCCCTTGATATCGATCACGTTGTCGCCCATAAGTGTCCTCCGCTGCGTACGCGTCTCCGAGTCGAGGCCCTGGGCGACCTGGCGAGCAGACGTCCACTTCGGGTCGCGCCAGTCGCGGATCATGGCCCAGCGTCCAGTCAACGGGTCGAGCGCGAAGCGCGTGTAGCGATACTCCATAACCCTGAGCTTTCCGCTCTTCTCTTCCCATGTCATCTTGCCCTGCTCGACGTCGTGGTGCCCGTTCGTGCCGTTCAGAATCGAGTTGGCCGCCGACGCGGCAGCCGAAGCGTTGGCGGAAGCGTGCGCTGAGGCAGCAGCAGAAGCTGCGGCAGCTGCGGGGAACACGGTCGACAGCGGGTACGGGTAATCGATGACATCCATCGGGACAATGTGGATGTCGCCGTATGGCGTCTCAACAACGAGCCAGCTGCCCTCCTTCATGTCCTCGAACGGAGTCTCCTTGCCACAGAACCGGACCCAGAGCATGGGCGACCAGCGGCCAACAAGACCCAATATTCCAAGCGTGCAGATGCACAGGATCCACCAGATCGTGTTGCGAACGGGGTCGGTGCGGTAACCCGTGAAACGGATCGACAAGTCCTCGTCCGGGAGCAGGATCGTCTGGCGGCTCGGGTCAACTCCTTCCTCAAACTCCTTGATCTCGTCCTCGTTGAAGTGGGCGGTGGACTCGCCAAAGATGCCGTCGCCGGGCAGAGGGACCAGGGGAAGGTTCGGTGACTGCGGTCGGCTCTGTGGCGGCAACGACGTGTCATCGGCGAGCGACGAGGTGTAGCTCTCGGCGTCGTCATCGCCCTTTCCGTAACCCCACGAGTCCATCGACGACTCGGACGGCTGAGACGACTCAATCGAGCGGCGCGAGTCGATCGTGCTCTGGCGACGGAGAAGGCTCTCCTCGTCGCCTTCCTCACGCCTACCCAGGAAGGACGCGATGCGGTTGAGCACCGACCCGGTCCTCTGCGGCGAGTGGGCGGGCGACTCATCCTCGCGCCGTCCATAGTCCTCGCTCCCTCGGATACGGTAGTCGCGGAACTGATCCTGCGACTCGCGACGCCACGCGCGGCTCCCTCGCCGTGATCCTATCCGGAACCGGGACGACGTGCCATATCCATCCTCGTCCTCCGAGTCTGCGACAAAGACAGCGCTACCCCCCGGCGACTGAGGCTCACGCACATCCATGCTCGGCCGCCGCCACATGCCTGACTGCGAGCGGAACGACGCCATCGAGCTGCGCCGGCTTCCTGGGCCGTACCACTTCGTGCGTGTAACGGAACTCGGCGCCATCCCTGCAGTCAGATAAACATATGCACTCGCAAACTCACCTCCATCATGGTTCGTCATGAGACTCCCAGACATCGAGTCGCCCTGCCCCGGTGGGTTCTCCTTGTCTCGCTGCTCGATCGCGATGGCGATCGCCTGGTCGGTTGCTCCGTCTGTCCAATCCTCAACACGGGAGCCATCACGGGGCTGGCCGTTCTGGCCCGACGGACCAGCGCTGCCCCCCGGGTCGGTATCGCGGTGATCAGTAGACATGTTCAGGGGTCGGAGTGGGATGTCGTCCGCGTCCAGTTTGCGGTGACCCTCGACGTGGGGGGAACGGGTTTGTCAGAAGTTGAGGCTCTGAAGAGTGGATCTCGCGGCAATGTTCAATGGCCCGCGGCAGTGGAGTTGAGGCGTTCAGGGTCGCGCTTACGTGCCTGACATCATGGTTTGCGCGTGTATCCTGATAATGTAAGCCACCTCATAAAGCCGTCCGCATCACGTGACGGACATGAACCCTTGACGTCAGAAAAGTCCAGCAGCCTCCACCAATTTCGGTGATGGCCAGGCGCAAAGGTTTATTTACGAGCGGACCGACTTGCACGTCGACATCAATCACCGAAAACCACCATGGCCGACCTTAACACGCTACTCCGCTGGGCGATCGAGAACTCGGACAAGGACAAGCTGCACGATGAGGCCGCGCATGCCAAGGACGGCGGCATGCAGCTGAAGTACAAGCCCGCCGCGCCGGGACAGGAGCCGTCCAAGCACAACGCGACGCTGCACAAGGACGACCAGGGCGTGTCGCCTGCGTCTACGCCGGGACCCGCTACGCCGAAGGAGGAGAAGTCCGAGCTGACGACGGACATTATCGACCTCATTCTCGGCAAGCCGGACAGCGCGACCATGAAGGAGAAGATGGAGTACGCGACGAATCCGGAGAACGACACCGAGTCGCGCGTCGAGGCGCTCGACGACTTTGAGATGCTGATCGAGATGATCGACAACGCCAACAACATGACGGCGCTCAAGCTCTGGGAGCCGCTGTTCTCGCTGCTGCAGTCTGACTCGCCCGAGATTGTCCGCCACGCGCTCTGGATTATCGGTACCGCCGTGCAGAACAACCTCAAGGCGCAGGCGTCTTTCTTCTTCCAGGACGGGTTCAACAAGGTGCTCGACGCGATTGAGAAGAACGCCTCGGCACCCGCGACGCGGCAGAAGGGCGCTTACGCCCTCTCCAACGCGCTCAAGTACTGGCCTTTGGCCTCCATGTGGCTCTCGGCTAACAACAACCGGGGCTACGACGCGCTCAAGGCGGGTGTCACTGACTCGGCCCCGCCCGTGAGGAGGAAGTACGCCTTCCTCGTCGGCAACCTCGTCATGCAGGCTGGCACTAAGTACGAGGGCGACATGGCGCTCCCGGACGATGTCAAGGCGCAGCTCGTCGACAAGATCACCGCCCAGGGCGGCAAGGACGGCGATCTCCTCAAGGGCCTTGAGGACAATGGCGTCTCCAGCGCACTCATCGAGGGAATGAAGATGCCCGACGACAATGATGTCGAGTTTGAGGAGAATGCCATTCGTGCGCTTGCGAATGCGGCTGAGAAGGGCGGACTCTCCGCCCAGGAGAAGACGGAAGCCAAGTCCATCTGGAACAAGTGGGACCAGGAAGGACAGAAGGAGCGCGGGTTTGAGGGAGCGGACGCCCAGCAGGTTACCAAGGCCCTGTCGTAGTAGATAGATCTGTATTATTATTGCATCGTAGTCAAGGGAAACTGACCATCGGCTCGGTGACGACTGACGGGTGTACTCACAGTCATTTTGTTGCATACACGGAGGGTTTTACTGGTCTCGAACAATGATGCTGATGGTATAGGACGTAGTTGCGTACACGGCACTAGGTGCCGCGGACGTACAGTCCATCAATGAGGTCCTCGTCATCTTCCGACTCATCGCTCGCCTCCTTCAGGACTGGCTCATAATCAACTTCGGGTCGATACGCATCCCCCCACTCCCTGGTATCCAGATACAGCCACCCCCTCTCCCGCCTCTTCTCCTCTTGCACCTCCCACTCCCTCATCGTGCGCGCATTCGCTTTCTTCACGTCGTTCAGAAAGGTGCGGAGGATAGAGTATCCCTGTCCCTGGTCCTCGCCGAAGGCGAAGCGAAGCGAGCGCTCGAATTCGTCTTCGTACTCGCGCGATAGGTGGTCGTGGCGCAACTTGGCATACTCGGCGTCGGTAAGGTAGGTGTACTCTGGCATGGGCGAATTGGGTGAGACGAGCGATGCGGGCGACGCGGGCGCAGAGCCATCAGAGCTGGCGTGATCCTCCTTATTGTCGGAGGGGAGCTGCAGACCCTGCGAGTCGGGAACGGAGGAGGGTGGAGAGTGCACTTCCTCGTCCTTGCCCACTCCCTCGTCTTCGTCAGACGTCAGGCCAGGTGACTCGTACTCCTCGATGAAATATCCATCGTCCTCGTCGCTGTAGTCCACCGGAGGCTGGGGTCGCTGCTGAGCCCAAGGACGGAAGCGCATCTTGTAATAACTCATGGAGCCGATCTCATCACACACCCTCTCCAGAGCAGGCTGCATGCGGAGGAGATTCTCGAAATTGGCCCTGGTGCGTTTGGCGGGATCGAGTTGGTTGTTGCGCTCAAAGGCGTGGATTTCTTCCTGCAAGTAAGCTACAGCTACAGACGTGTTCCTGCTAGTTCCAAGTGGGTGCGCGGGCTCACCTCCGTCGTCTTCGGTGAGAATCGCCACACCATCCCGCAGTCCACGTTCCCGAAGAGGAGGAAAGAGAGGAGCATCAGCGCCTCTCCGAAATCGATATGGAGACGCTCCGGCAGCGTGTCTGAGAACGTGTACGCCGGCCGGCGGCGAGAGAGCCACTCGCTCTCGTCTGGGGTGCGAGGCGTGGCGGGAGAGGCCGGAGAGGCATGGGTTTTCGGAGTTCCCGGAGGGGAGATAGCGAAGAGTTCGTCGCCTTCATGGTCGTCACTGAAGTGCACGCGGTTGTAGTGGACATGAAGGACGTCCACGTCGTAGGTTGCGAACTCGCACAGTTCACAGTACTCTGAAAGGGTCAGTCCTGTCGTTTCTGCTAGCTTACGTTCTTCTGCAGCTGGTTGGTCGGCCATTTTGGTGTCGAGAGAGATGTTAAGTTGAGGTGAGAAAGCAGAGGGAGACGAAGAGGGACATGATGCAGACGTGCTGGAGTGGTCTTGAAGTACTGCGAGACAGCGTCAGTGGGGTGCAACGGAAGTGTGTATTTCGCTTGCGAGGCTCTCGCACGACACCGACTCTTCGCACTTTCAAGACAATGTGGATTTCACGTTGCGACGCGTCTAGTCGTGCGTGGGCATTGATGTGAGGACAACATCACTCATTAATCTGTGTGAAGGCGCTATTGTAACAATGTGCTGTATGTACAGGCAATGATGCTGTTGCCGGCGGAGCGAGAGGGATAGTCGATGAAGTGCTTAGCAGGCTGGCCACTGCAAGTGAGATGAGAAGGGGGGAGATGCCAGGACCGATTCGACCGAGGAGAGATTTCCACCACTACCTTGAGATCTCCAGGAAAGCAGCTGGGCGAGGCCACTGCCTCTCCATGCATAGCTGCTGCCTCTCATACTTCAGACTACACCAGGTCACCCAAAGCTCGCCGCCACTAGACCACAACGGAGATACCCTGAACTCCGCGACATGACGGTGCCTGGCCGTTCGATATTTTGAACTTGAATCCAGTCCTGGCTCGTCAGTCACCACCATCTACACCGCGGCCATGCCGTCCAGACCACAGAAGCGAAACAAGAACGACGCAAAGGCAAAGGCGGCAGAGGAGCCGAAACCTGTCGCCGCCCTCCCGCAGAGCCGCGTCTTCGCCCCCTTCCGTGCCCTCGGCTACGTCTCCGACCATGTCCCCTTCTCCATGTTCGTCCACACCCCCAAGGGTGCCCTCGCCAAGCCCACGATCCACATTGTTACGAGCGTCGGACGGAGCTGGCTTATGTGGGACGCGGAGCGCATGACTCTGCTTTTTGCTGGTGAGCTGGATGGTGTCACTGCCGAGCTGACATTGCAGGACCTGATGCTGGTACGACGATCACGAGTCTGGCGCAGACGGGAACAGAAGTGTTCGCTGCCGCTGGCCCGAGAGTCATCAAGTATTACCGTGGCAAGGAGGCTGAGACTTATACAACGCCGGACGGGTCGACACTCGGCAAGATCATGATCTTTGGCGAGCAGCTGACCGCGCTGAAATACGACGGAACGGGCATGTTCGTGTGGAACGTCTCGAGCGCCGAACTCGACAACGAGATCACATTCCATTCGTCCTTCACGGCGACCGAGATCATGCACCCGGCGACGTATCTGAACAAGATCCTCGTCGGCAGCCGGGAAGGCGAGCTGCAGCTGTGGAACATCCGGACCAAGTGAGTTTACACATTGTCGTACAGAACTGACGACCAGCTCGCTCATCCATACGTTCCCCGCTTACAACCCCCCGTCAGCGGTGACGGTGATGGTGCAGTCTCCGGCCGTCGACGTCGTCGGCATCGGATACCTCGACGGCAGCATCCGCATCATCGACATCCGCGAGTGCGAGCTCGTGATGCAGATGCGGATGGACCAGGGGTCGTCGATCACGGGGCTGTCGTTCCGGATGGACGGGCCGCCGATCTTGGCCTCGGCGTCGTCGGCGGGCGCTTTCGCCGTGTGGGACCTCAGCAAGGGCGGCCGAATCCTGCACACGCAGCGCATGGCGCACGAGCAGGGCGTCAGTGGTCTGGAGTGGGTGCAGGGCCAACCCCTGCTTGTCACGTCGAGCGGGGACAACAGCGTGAAGCAGTGGCTCTTTGACGCCCCGACGTCAGCCCCGCGGCTGCTCAAGCTGAGGACGGGCCACCACGCGCCCCCCACAAACATCCGGTACTACGGCGCAGACGGCAAGGCGATCCTGACGGCTGGCCGCGACCGGTCGCTGCGGTACACGAGTGTGGTTCGCGACTCGCGGTCGCACGAGCTCTCGCAGGGTTCCCTTATGAAGAAGGCGATTGGACAGGGCGTCTCGGTCGACACGCTGAAGCACGCGCCGATCATTGCGCTGAGCAGCTCGGCTACGCGCGCAAAGGACTGGGACGACGTGCTGACGGCGCACGCCGACGACACGGTCGCGCGCACATGGCGTGTGTGGGAGAAGCGGATGGGGGAGCACGAGTTTGGCCTCGAGGACGGCGGCGACGTGCAGGCCGTGTGCGTCACGAGCTGTGGCAACTTTGGTCTCGCCGGCTCCTCGACGGGCGAGATCAGGATGTGGAACATGCAGTCCGGAAAGGAGCGGAAGCGTTATGCCCTCACGGGCCCAGCGTTGGGAGACAGCAAGCCCGCCATCATCGCGGCCTCCAAGCCGAAGAAGAGCAAGACCAAGCCCGAGGCCAAGAAGAGCATTCAGGCCATCACGGGTCTAGCCGTCGACGCGCTCAACTCGACCGTCGTGGCTAGCACGCTCGAGGGAAAGCTGTACTTCTTCGACTTCCACAGCACGCAGCGCGTCGCCGAGCTCGAGCTCGACTCGAGCATCACGCGTCTTGATCTGCAGCGAGACAGCGGGCTGATTGCGGCTGTATGTGATGACCTCGTCGTGCGTCTCGTCGACATTGAGACGAGGCGCGTCGTCCGTGAACTTCGAGGCTTCAAGGGCGGTATCCTCGACACGGCGTTCAGTCCCGACTCCCGATGGCTGATCAGCACCTCGCTCGACTCGACGATCCGCACGTTCGACATTCCGACCGGACGGCTCGTCGATGCGTTCCGCGTCCCCTCTGTCGCTACCAGCGTCACGTTCTCCCCGACAGGCGACTTCCTCGCGACCGCTCACGTCGACTCGCTCGGCGTGCACCTGTGGGCGAACCGGGCCCAGTTTAGCGATGTCGCCCTCCGCCACATCCCCGAGGAGGAGGATGTGCCGGAGCTCTCGCTCCCGAGCGTGCAGGGGGTGGACGACAGTACGCTCTCTGGCCTCGAGGTCGGAGCGCCGGAGTACACGGACATCTACACGACGCCGGACCAGCTGTCCGAGGGGCTGCTGACGCTCTCGCTCCTGCCCCGGTCGCGATGGCAGACGCTGCTCAACCTCGAGACGATCAAGGCGCGCAACAAGCCAAAGGAGCCGCCCAAGGCGCCCGAGGCTGCGCCCTTCTTCCTTCCCACTGTGGCCGGGCTGGAGACGCGCTTCGACGTCGACGCCGCGCGACCCAAGGACGAGGACGGCGAGGCGTTCGGAGCCCGCCTCGCGCCCAGCAGCTTCATGGAGAGCGAGTTCACCCGCCGCCTGTGCAAGGAGGACGAGGACGGCGACTACGCCGCCTTCTTCGAGTACCTCAAGGCCCTCAGTCCCAGTGCCGTCGATCTCGAAATTCGCTCGCTTGTTTCGCTTGAGCACCTCGCCGCGTTCCTCTCCGCCCTCCTTGGTCGACTCCGGAGTCACCGCGACTTTGAGGCTGTTCAGGCGTTCTTGTCTGTGTTCCTCAATGTGCACGGGGACGTGCTCATTGCCAACTCCGAGCTTAGGGGGCTCCTCGAGCGCCTCGAGAAGGAGCAGAAGCGCGAGGCGAACCGTCTTCAGGAGCTCATCTCGTACTCGCTCGGCACGCTTGCCTTCCTCCGCTCGTAGGTCACAGACCAATTAGATTATCATATTTTTGCATGCAGCCCTCATCTTTTTGTCTAGTGGTACATCTATGCAGTAAGAATACAAATGCTACTCCTTGTCTTCGTAGTTTGCCATAGGGTCCTCGAACGCGTTCCGCGACATGCGGTACGCCTCCATCTCCTCCTCAGTGACGTCCGTCTTGGCCTTCTTGGTCGCCTCCCACGCCTCGTCCTCGCCCATGCGCTTCCGTCTCCGCTCCTCGGCGACGGCACGCTTCAACCGCTCTTTGTCGAGGTCGGGCTCGTCGCTCGCTTCCCGCGACTTGTCGTCGTCCTTCTTCTTTCCCTTGCCCGCCTCCATGCGCTCGCGGTGGATCTCGGCAAGCGTCTTCACAGGCTGCTCCTCCTCGGCCTCTTCATCGTCGTTCGTACCGAGCAGAGCGGCGGCAGTGGAGGCCTGGTTCGCCTCCTTGCCGGCCTCGCCTGTGCAGTATGATCGCGCAATGAGCGAGTGGCAGCACGCGAATCCCCACTGCCCGCTCTCGCGGTCGTACCACGATCCCCACACGCTTGTGTGGTTGTTCGGGAACACGTCCTCGGGGTACTTGGACTTGGCCTTGGCCTGCTCCTGGCCGCGGATGACCTCTCCCGTACGCGAATACTCGACATAATGCTCTGTCTGTCCGCCGAGGAGTTCCTGTGGCAGGCGCTCAAGGTGCTCCTCACCACCGTACTTCTCCAGGATACTCGTCTTGGCCTGTGTCTTGACCACGTCGCGCTTCTGCTGGAACTCGCGGTGAAGCAGCTCACCCGCCGTCGGGTTCGAGTGCACATTGACGTTGTGACCGCGCTGCGCCGATTGCCACGCGAACGCCTGCAGCTTTTGCATGTTTGTCGCGTCGCCGCTGTACCGCGCAAAATTGTCGCCTGCGAACCGCAAGTCTTCGGCGCTCTTGCCCTCCTCGGGCGCGTCACGCATCGAGCGCGTCTTCGGGTCGTAGTACGCCGACTCGGGGTTCAGGTTCAGCAGATACTTGGCCGTGTCCTCGCGGATACGCAGGTTGCGTACAGTCATGCGGTTCTTCGTGTCGAACGTTTGGTCCACCTGGTCCGCCTGCATGCTCGTGTCGCCGGTCTCCTCGTCGCTGTCGTCGTCCGTGCCGAACTCGTCGTCCTCGTCCTTGGCCTTTTGCTTCTTGGCCTCGCGCTTCACCTCGGCAGCCTTCTTGGCCTCCTCCTCGAGCTCGGCCTCGCGGAACTTCTTCCGCGCCTCCTCGGCCGCCTCGTAGTCCTCGACAACAGACTTGTAGCTCGAAGGGTCGTAGCCGTTCCACCGGTCGCGCTTCGCGTCGTACTCGCGCGACACCTCTTGAATGTTCTCGTCCGGCGCAATGTTCTTGTTGGTAAACTTGGCGCCGCGCTTTCGTGGACGCTCGACGCAGTCCCTCCGCTTGTGCGTCATCGCACCGCAGTTCTCGCAAGCGCCCTTGCGGTACTTGGTCGCCGCGGGACCGGTAACTCCTCGGTCGTACCACTGGTCGATGGGCGTCTTCTTCTTCTCCTCTTTACGGTGGTGGTTCAGCGACGGCTCGCCGTTGATCTCGGCCCACCACGGCGCCTTGGCAATGTAGTCGGGCACATGGGGGTTGATGGCGGGCTTGTCGCCTCCGTTTTTAGCGTCCTCGAGCGCCTTTTGCGCGCGGTACGACGACCCCGCAATCTTCTCCGAGTGATCTTTACGTCAGCCAAATGCATAACGCTGTAAGCGCTTACCAGCAGGGAGACGGATCATGATGGGATTGCTGACTTAAAGTTGTGGAGGAACGCGGTTCACTGAACATGTCGCCACCCAACGCCGGCTTAGCACCCAGAGCGGGAGAAAATGGGTAAAAGCCACGAAAATAATCCAGGGTAGTAATACCGCTCCCTCCATGATACAACACCATTCTTCAAGGTCGTCGCCGCTCGTTGACGGTCCCACTTTGCTTTCTCATCACTCGAGTGCCTTTCCCCTTTCAAAACAAACGCCAACAGTAACAAAATGTGGCGTCCCGCAACCCGAGTGACCGGAACGAACGACGTGAGTGTTTGGGCGCGAAACCGTGCTGACAACCAGGTTCCTCTGGCCAACAAGCGCCGCTTTGGGCTTCCTGAGGAGGCTCCCGCATCTTCGGCCCCGTCCGGCGGAAGCGGCTACGGCAAGCCTCCCGGTGACATCCAGTTCTTCAACGGAAGGATCGACCGCGACCGCGACCACCGGGACGACCGCCGCCGGGACGACAGGCGAGACGACCGACGCGGTGGCGATGACCGTCGCGACGACCGGTACGGCCACAGCCGCCACGATGACCGACGCGACCACCGCGGCGGGCGAGACGACCGGGACAGCAGGAGGAGCCGATGGGACGAAGATAGGACCCGTGGACGCGAGCCTGGACCGGATGACAACCAGCCCCGCAAGCGCCGGTCTCGTTGGGGTGACGCCAACGAGCGTGTTGACGTCTCCGGTCTTCCGACCAACATCATGGGCCGAGTAAACCAGAGCGAACTCGACAACTATGCGATCCACGTCCGTCTCGAGGAGATTGCGCGCAAGCTGCGAACGGGCGATGTTGTTCCTCCCGACGGACAGCGGAGCCCGTCGCCTCCGCCCAAGTTTGACGCGTACGGTCGACGATCCAACACGCGCGAGGTGCGATACAGGGAGAAGCTTGAGGACGAGCGCAAGCGCCTGATTGATCGTGCGATGAAGAACGACCCCTCCTTCCGACCTCCCGCCGAGTTCATGCAGCGCCGCAACGGCCGGCCCATGGAGAAGGTGTACATTCCCGTGCACGAGTTCCCCGAGATCAACTTCTTCGGTCTGCTCGTCGGTCCCCGTGGCAACTCGCTGAAGCGTATGGAGCGTGAGAGTGGAGCCAAGATTAGTATCCGCGGCAAGGGAAGTGTCAAGCACGGCAAGGGACGCCCCGATGCGTTCTCGCACGACGAGGACGACGAGCTGCACTGTGTCGTGACGGCCGACGACGAGGAGAAGGTGCGCCACTGCATCAAGCTCATCAACCAGGTCATTGAGACTGCGGCCTCGACGCCAGAGGGCCAGAACAACCACAAGCGCGACCAGCTGCGTGAGCTCGCGTCGCTGAACGGAACGCTGCGTGACGACGAAAACCAGCTCTGCCAGAACTGTGGAGAGAAGGGCCACCGCCGATGGGAGTGCCCGCAGCAGCGGACGTACAGCGCCAACGTCATCTGTCGCTTGTGCGGCGGCGCGGGACACATGGCGCGCGACTGCCGCGGACGTGGCGACCCCAGCCTCGCGCAGAACAAGCAGTCGCAGTTCGACAACGAGTACGCCAACCTCATGGCCGAGCTTGGCGAGTCGTCTGGCGCGGCTGCCCCCGCCCAGGCCGAGGAGCAGAGGATCCCCCCCTGGCGCATCCCGGAGAACTGGCAGGGAGGCGGCCGCGACCGCGAGCGCGGAGACAGGCACGACCGCGGCGGCCACGATGGGTACGGTAACGGAGGCTACGACCAGGGCGGCTACGGCGGCGCCGGCGGGTACGGGTACGACCAGGGCGGCTACGGCCAGGGCGGATACGACCAGTACCAGCAGGGCGGGTACGGCGACTATGCCGGCGCGTACCAGCAGGCTGCTTAAGTCGTGGTAGCCGTTCTTAGAGATCCCCCGGCTCGTGTTTCCCCGTACATCTATGACCGATTCGATTGTGACGTGTAACAGTTTTTTTGACTCGCTCGAGCTAGCCAGCAATGCAGATTATGACAGTGCATCCATCCCTACAGAACGTCGTCGTGTTGCAATTTCGTTGTCGAGAATCATCATCATCACTAATGCAAAGAATCCATGACTAATGACCAAGATCACAGGCGGAAGACGGCCTGGACGGCCTGGACGGCCTGACGGCCTGACGGCCGTCTAGCCCTACCACACCTCATCCACGCGCGAGCGGTGGATACAGAATCCGGGCGTGACCCACTCCTTACACCCGCACTGGACGCCAGCCCAGTCAAACGTGCCAATCTTGGCTCCACACGGGCAGAACAGTTTGCCCGACACCTGGCCATTGAGGGCGGGCTCCATCCACGTCAGCGGCTCGACAAAGTATCCGCTGCACTTGTTGTTGGTGAGGATCGGGGGGCCATTTTGGGCCGCCTGTTGCGCGTGTGCCTGTGTCAGCGCACTGAGTGCCGCAGGCGTGAGCGGCTGAGGCATAGAGGTCATGCCCAGGTTTGAGGGGCGGCGGCGCGCGGGAGGGAGCTCGCTCTCGGGCGACGAGGGGGGAGAGGACGCGATGGGCGAAGAGAGATTGGACGTCGCGCTGAAGCCGGCGCGGAGCGCGGCGAGCTGGGGTGGCAGGCGGGCCGCGAGCGCGTCCGCGTCCAGCATTGGTCGGCCGCCGGGACCCTTCTTCTCCTCCTTCTTCTCCTCCTTGTGCTCCTTGGGCTCCTTCTCCTCCTTCTTGCTGTCGCTGGGCAGTGGCGGGGGCGGGCCTCAGGCGACGTCATGGGCGCCAACCCGCTCGGGCCCGTTGCGGATCCAGACGAGTCGCGGCGGGACATGGTGAGCTGTCCGTCGTTGCCGAGCACGGACCGCGATCGTGATCGCGTCGTTCCGTCGCTGATGGCGGACATGGCGCCGAGGCTTGGCCGCCTCGACGACGCATTCGACGCGCGGCGGGACCGCGCGCCGGGAAGGCCAGTGAGCGGGTTGATGACGGAGGAGACCGAGTTGGACCGCTCGAGCGGCTGGAACGTCGCGTCCTCTGTCGTCGTCAAGGGTTGGGGGAGGGCGAAGGCGCTCGGCGTCGCTGGCCGCGTGGCCGGTCCCCCGGACTGGGCCAGGATGTGGTCCATCATGTGCTCTCTCGTGGCGAGGTTGCGGCGACACATCTTGCAGCGGATCTTGCGCCGGCCCGTCGCGCCGGCGGGCGTCTGTGGCGTCGACGCCGTAGGCGAGAGGGGGTACTTTGCCATGTGGTCCATTGACGGGCGGCCTCCAAGGTCTGTATGGGTCGAGGTGTTGGGGGGAAGGGAGATGTGTAATGCGATGAAAGTATAAAGCGATCGATGCGAGTTGAGGTTCGGTGGCAATGTGAGATTTTCGTCAGCACAGGTGCAAGATTCGGGTGGAGGTTGGATCCGGTGGAGGTCCATCCACCCACCCCCTATGGTGACTTACTGAGGACCATGCCTGCGTTTCGCTCGAGGTAAAACTGTCTCGTCGTGCGGTCCTTCATGGTGACCCGTCCCTTGGCCTGGTGGTAGATGCCAAGTTGGTGCCAGAACGTCTCGCTGGGGTCGACAACGGGCCGCGCGTCGCGAACAACCTGGACGGCGTCCTCGGGGTCGAGCTCCAGTTCGTTCATGAGGAACGCCGCTGCGACCGTCGCGCTCCGGCTCATCCCCGCCTGGCAGTGCACGAGAACGCCACCGGGGTTCGTCTCGGGGGCGCGCGGCTCGATGGCGGGGTCGCGCTCCTCGTCGGGCGTGCCTTGCCGCTTCAGGAGCGCATCGCGGATCCAGGCCGAGGTCGAGGGGAGGAACTGGAGAATATCCGTGTCCTGTGCATCGTCGATTTCTATCGTGTACGCCGCAAACTCGGGGTCAAAGTTGAGCCGTGGGCGGAGGAGAGAGACGACGTTGGACTGTGAACGTTAGCACAAGCTTGGCACGGAGTGACGGGGTTGATCAGCTGATCAAACCCCCCAATGGCCCAAACAACTCCTCGCCCCTCCCAAGATGCTTCGATGGACGTCCATGTCGTGCGTCAAGCACCGAGCACGGCACCGAGCGCCGCACCGAGCTTTGCTACCTGGACGGCCCGGCAGCCGGCAGGTTGTCGGCTTGGACCAAATATGCTCGCATCGGGCACGCCAACCGAGCTCTTCATGTACTCACGATTCCACGCTCGCGCAGCCCCTCGCCGTCCATGGCAGCGACGAGGTCGCCGACCCACAACCCGTCACAGACCTGCTGGAGGTGCTCGATCTCCTCCTCCTCCTCTCCCCTTCTGGCAGCCCCTCCCTGCGCCTCCTCAGCCTGCTGCTGTTGCCACTCAGCCTCCTCTGGATCGTCTTCCCAGGCCTGCCGCCGCTGGACAACCTTGGGCAGCGTCTCCTCCCTCATTGCGATCTCGGCAAGTCGCCGCGCGGCCGGCCCGTAGCTTTGAGTTGGTCGAACACGTCGTCGACCGCCAGAGAGTCGGGCTTCTGCGCGTCCGCCGGCGGCAGATCCGTCATGGTCATCTTGGTGCGTTCGGGAAGCGAGGGGCGGCGGGAGAGTGCGCGTTTCGGCGTCGCGTGGGCCGTCTGCGCCGTCATGGCCGTCATTGCTGGGAGGCCTTTATACGTTTATGAAGAGAGTTGTGTGTGCAAAGGCGAAAGGTGGGGGGTTGGGTTGGGTTGGGTTGGGGGGCAATGCAGATCTGAAGGGCTCAAAGGGTGGGTCGTAATCACGCGCCTGATAACAAGACCGCAAGACCCGGTTAGGAAGAGGGGTAGTGGCCGTCGGACTCGGGAACAAAATCGCTTAATCGCGGCTCAGCAGTGGTGGGCCTTACGCGCTTCTTCCTGCAGGTCGTGAATTGGCGGATCGCCGATCCGCTGCAATGACGCAACTATGCGACGCGCCTGCCAGCACATACACTCGACGCGTTCGTTGCATTGTGGCCCTTCCGGCACGCCGCAGCACTCATGGTCCCCCGTGCCAAGCCACAGACGTAGAGACCGTGGGATATGGCCGTGGGCGGGCCAGGCGGGGCTCTGGGAATACTCTCGACTGGAAGCCGCTCGGCCGCTCTACCAGCGTTCCACAAGCGTTTCTCGTCATATCTGATCTCGCCGACGTTACTGCCGTTCCTTGACCGACATCATGAACGCCGCAGTGCGAGTGATCCCGACCCGCAGTTACAGAACATTGTCTCAGCAGCTTGACATGCACTGACACACTCTCACTCCACACTAGCCACAGACGTCAGATTGACCGTCACATCAACCCAAGTGGCTTAGCCACTCGCTTCCTCACGTCACCACAACCACCCCGCAGCACTTCAACGCCAGCGTCTGACGTATCGTTGACGCCTTGCTCCATCCTGACGTCCTTTCCGTCCCTGGACCCGTCCTCGGCACAGCTTATTCCCAAGACTGCAGTCTTCCATTTGTATGCTATTCATTCACCACTACGCTACACTTGCAGTCGTCTAGATGCCCTCTGCAAACGTCAGTTCCATCCTTCCAGAAGTTAACTGTACTTACCGGCAAGAGCCTGGTTGAAGCGGTTGACCCTGGTGGCAGCGGTGGCGTCGATGGTCTTGTCACCGAGGTCGACGAGGAGACCGCCCTGGACCGAGGGGTTGACACGGTTGACAAACTTGAGGGTCTTGTCCTGGCCAACCTGCGAGCCCTTGAGGGCCTTCTCGAGGCGGGACATCGACTTGTTGTCGAGGGGCTCGGCCGAGGTGACGGTGACGAGGAGCTCTCCGCGGTGGGCGGACATGAGCTTCTCAAAGTCCTCAAAAACCTTGGAGGCAGAGCCGAGACGGCCGTTCTCGGAAAGGACGTTCAGGAGGTTGAAGAGGATGGGGGAGGAGCCGGAGGGGACGACCTGCTTGAGGACCTCGGAGCGCTCGCGGGCAGAGAGGGTGGGGTTGTCTGTTGGCGGTTGTACCCGATGACGAAAGTAAAACGCGAATCAATATCGATTGTCGATCATCAAAAGAAGAGAAGCACGTCAGCAAACAGTCTCCGGTGCGCAGTTGCAAACGCGCAACAACGTACCGATCTTGGCCTTGAGCTGGGCGTCATCGCGGAGGGTCTTGGAGAACGAGGTGACGTCCTCGGCGAGCTGGTCGAGCTCCTTCTTGCCCTGCTTGGCAGCAGCAACGTAAGCCGACGAGGCGTAGGTGCCGGCAAGCGAGTTAAGCTGGAGAGGGGGCTGAATGTTAGCGACATGTTCGTTTCCATCTGGGTCCAGTCGTGACGCATTCCCGAGCAATATCCCGATAACCCAGCTCGATGTCGAAAGCCACAACTCGATTCCATCGATCACTTCCAGTCCTCCGTTCAACGTCTTCCACGCGCTCGGAATGCTACGTGCAGACGGGCAGCATGACGCCCTAGTGCACTAGCGTCCACATCTCTTCCGTGCATGCGTTGCTCGTCCCCATCAACAGTGCCGAGGTCGGGTAACAACTTTCTTCCAAAGCTCCAACCGAGTCGCTGAA